GGAAGGAGCGGACGATCGGGGCAGGACACATTGTTTTTTTTCTGACTTTACACATTATTTTCTTACTTTACTGTTTTGATAAATGTGTTTAGATGTGTGTAGTATATAGTATATGCTCTTCTTGTTTTATCCGGTTCATTTTGTGTTTAAAAAACATATTTAGGTGTAATTTTTTTGGGGCCAGGAACCAATTAATTGGTTTTCCATTATTTCTTATGGGTAAAATTCGATTAGATTTCGAACTTTTTAGGATTCGATCCGGAGTTCTGAACGGATTAAGTTCGAGTTCTGAGGTACCACTGTATTTTATATCTTTTGGAAACAGCAACATTTCAGTACTGAAGTATTTTTTTATTGGACCAACAGAATCAATTTAATGCACAAAAATAGGAAAGTGCATAAATTTGGGTGCCCCAGAGGAACAATCCCATCAGTATTTAGTAGAGCCTCCTTTTGCTGTAGACACCTCCTATAGCCACTAAGTCCCTGAGTTCTGGCTGGTGGTATTTTGCAACGTTCTTCCATACAAAATGCCTGCAGTTCAGTCAGGTTTGAAGTCTTCTGAGCGTGGACAGCCTGCTTCAAATCAATCCATACATTTTCAATGATGTTTAGGTCTGGGGACTGGGATGGCTATTCTAGAACATCGTACTTGTGCCTCTGCATGAATTCCTCGGTAGATTTCGAATAGTGCTTTGGCTCATTGTCGTACTGAAACATCCAACCCCGGCTTAACATCAACTTTGTGACCAATTCTTGAACATTCTTTTCAAGAATCTGCTGATCCTGGGAGGAATTCATGCAGCCCTCAACTTTAACAAGGTTAACAACCATAACATGATGGACCGTCCACCAAATTTTACAGTAGGCAGCAAGTTCTTCTCCTGGAATGCTGTGTGTTTTTTTTTGCCATGCATGGCGCCTCTGGTTGTGACTAAATAATTTTACGTTAGTCTCATCTGTCCAAAGTATGTTTTTCCAAAATGTTTCTGGCTTGTCCAGGTGTGCTTTTTCATACCTCATGCGACTCTTCTTGTGGTGAGTACTCAGAAAAAGCTTTTTGCACATCTGATAAACATCCCCTTGTCTACATTTTTCTAGAACAAAAATGGCATATTTCTGTGATCGTCTCTTATGAAGACAGAGCAAATTATCATGCAATCTCAGAGGGGTGCCCAAACTTTTACATAGCACTGTAGTTTATTTTTGGAAATTAATCAACCACTCTGCAAAACCCCCATGGAGTACTGGCCATGGACCACAGTCCACGAACCGGGGGTTGAAAAACCCTACTGTAAAGGGTACTACTATAAGTGACTAGAAAACATAATGAGGTGCCCAAATAGGTGCCCCTCCAGTGAAGAAAATATGATGCAGCACCATATAAAGTGACCGCACAATTGGGTACACCTGAGGTGCCTTTCTAATTGAAATACAGTGGTACCTCGGTTCTCGAACTTAATCTGTTCCGGACTCCGGATTGAATCCTATAAAGTTCGAGTTCTGATCGAATTTTTCCCATAAGAAATAATGGAAAACCAATTAATTGGTTCCCGGCCCCCCAAAATTACACCTAAATATGTTTTTTTTTTCTTTTTCATTTAAACACAACATGAACAGGATAAAACAAGAAGAGCATTTTTTTCTTAATGGCTTCAAAAATGATAAAGATCTTATCCCAACATTACCCCTGTCCTGCCCCGATCGTCCGCTCCTTCCATGTGCCACACCCCCTCGTTAACCTCGTGTGGGATCCCCATGTGATCAGCTGTTTCTGGTTGTTTTCATTAGTCCTCTGTATTAAGTCCTTGTTTCAGTTTGTTTCTCCAGTCCAGTCATTGGGTGCGTTTGACTTGCTTACAGCGCTGGCTTAAAGCAACGCATTCTGATCCTGACGCAATGCATTACAATTAGATGCATTGTGACCTGTGCCCTTATTGGCTGAAGAGTTTAGTTACACGCATGACGTTTGTATCCCAGGCAGTTCCGATGCATAATCTGCTATTTCTCCCGAATATCACGTAAAGCAGTGAGAACTGGTTTTCAGTTAATTTATCTGGTAAAATAAAGTTTAAATAAATAACATAAATGCTGTAATAGTACACGTCAGTTAGTGGTTTATTTATTGTTAGTTACTGTAATGTTGCGCTGCTTTATTTGGTTAATTGTCCAGTCTGTGAAGAAGGCATTCAAGTAATAATTGCATTGTAGTATGACTCATTTCCTGGCGCATACAATTTATATTAGGTCAGCGTTCACGGTTCGACTTCTGATATTCAGATCGAGTTCTAGGTCAAACTGGTTTGTTCTACTTTCAAGAAATTGGAGTTCTAGTGAGTTCGAGAACCGAGGTACCACTGTAATTCATAAAGTTCCCAGGAAGGGAGCCACTCTAAATGAAGAAACATGATGAAGTGCCCTTCCAGCTAAGACATGCAGCTTCATGAGCGTGTGAGAAGACCACTCCAGACGTAGTTACAGGAGGGGGGACGTCATGCAACACTGCACCTTTTCTGCCACTGCATCCATTCATCTTCCATATTTGCTTATCCAGTACTGGGTTGTGGTGAGTCTAGAGCTAATCCCAGGCAACACAGGGCAAAATGCAGGTTTCCTCCTGAATCCAGTGCCAATTAACTGCAGGGTACTGTATATGCACACTCACACTCACTATGGGGAAATCACAGACACCAGTTCACCTAAATGCTTGTTTTGGACTATGGCTTGATTTGGAGAGAACATGTCAATAACACACACACAAAGAGCAGGACACAACAACAAACCCACCATCCCATATTACAGGTGTGAGGCTACAGTGATAAACGTTGCAGGACCACAGCACTACAACAACAGCAATAAAAATAATCATAATGACAGTCTGTTCAGTCCCTTGCATGTCACCCATCGGCAGCTACACAGTCAACCCAGGGCGACTTGAGAGTTCCTGTCAAGACCAAATGCCATTATACAGTGAGGGAAATAATTATTTGACCCCCAGCTGAATTATTAAATTGACCCATTAATAAAGAAATGAGAAGTCTATAACTTCACTGTTAGGTTTATTTTAACAGCAAAAGATAGATAGATCAACAAAGCAAGCCAGAAAAATCATTATGCAACAGTTACAAACCAATTTGGAATACATGCTTTAGTACTTGGTGGAGTAACTATTGTTGGCAAGCACAACTGTCAGATGTTTCTTGTAGTTGGTCACCAGGTTTTCACACAGCTCAGCATGAATTTTCATCCACTCCTCTTTGCAGATCTCCTACAAATCTTTAAGGTTTTTAGGCTGTCACTTGGATACATGAAGCTTGAGTTCCCACCATAGGTTTTCTATGGGATTAAGGTCCGGAGACTGGCTAGGGCACTCCATGACCTTAATCAGCTTCTTCTTGAAGCAGCTTAGGGTTGTTGTCTTGCTGGAAGACCAAGACCCACCCACAATGCATTTTCAGTGCCCTGGCTGAAGGAAGGAGGTTCTCTTCCAAGATTTTACGCTACATGGCCCCATCCAGTAGGGATGGTGTTCCTGGGGTTACAGTCAGCATTCCTTTCCCTCTAAACACAGCGAGTAGAGCTGATGCCAAACAGCTCGATTTTGGTCTCATCTGGCCATATCACATTCTTCCAAGCCTCATTGGAATTATTCCAGTGTTCACTGGTATACTTTAGATGGGTCTGAACATGAGCCCTCATGAACAGGGGTACTTTTTAAGTACTGCAGGTTTTCAACTATAACTGCATACTGTGTTACCAATGGTTTTCTTGGCAACCAAGAGCCCTGCTGCTTTGAGATCATTAACGAGCTTCTCCTTTGTAGTTCTTGGGTTAGCCCTCAGTGTTCTTAAGATCATTGATGCCGCACAAGATGAAATCTTCCTTGGGGCCTGAGATCCAGGGTGATTGATAGTTATTCTGTCTTTCTTCCATTTGCAAATAATTCTACCAACAGTTGTCACTTTCTCACCAAGCTGCTTGCTGATGGTCATGTAGCCCATTCCACTATTGTCAAGGTCAACAATCTTGTCTCTGACATCCTTAGACAGCTCTCTGGTGTCTCTCATGGTGATAAGATTGAAGATCTAGAAAGGTTAGTGACCAAAGAATACTCATTAAACAAAGTAATGCCATTAAATGTGAATGCCGGCTTGGTATTTGTTAATACTTAATTAAGTACTACTTGTGTTGTGTTAATGTGTTCATTTCTTGCTGACTTGTAGGGGATCAAATATGTATTTCCCTAGATAAATTATTATTTGTACCTGTTACATAATGATTTTTTCTTGTTTGTTTTGTTGAAAATCTATCTTCTGATGTTGAAATAAACATACCATTGAAATTACCGTATAGACTTCTCATTTCTTTATAAATGGGTGAACTTAGGAATTCAATGGGGGGGCATTTTATACCTATAATAATTTTGAATAGTTTTAAAACTAGCATGTACTTTATTATTCCTATTTTTGAAATATTAGTCCTCGAGATAATAAACATAGAGACGAACTTTGAAACGAAATGGGTCTGCTCTTGATTTTGGATTTATTTCAACTCCAAATCGACAGAAATAAATAGTTCACTTCCCTACTTGTTTTAGTGTTTCTTGTCTTGTACATGTCTCAGAGTCTCCTGTAATTCTGTATACAGTACATCTGCTCCTTTAATTCTTTTAATAACAATCATATGAGTTACAATTTAAAAATGCACCTCCATGTGAAATCTTAAGTTATTTAACAAAAAACACATAAAAGAATGCAATCATATCATTAGGTATTAGCTGATGTATTAGAGGAAGCTAATGTCTTAGCTCATGTACCGGATTACTAGAAGAATCCTGCCACAATCTAGCAACCTTATCTAACCTTCGGTTTAGGACATTACATTAACAGATGCAATGTAATACAATAAAATTTCTGATTTCATAACATTCTAACTGTCTGCATTGACTAAGTAACTATTGTTTTAAGTATATGCAGATGGGTCGCTTTAAGAAATTCGCTGTGTGCATAGGGAGATAGTAGGCTCTTATTTTGATAAAGTGAACGCAGCAGCCTACCGGAAGTATATTGGTTATTGTGCCATTTAACCCGCTGTTGTAGATCCATTTCCGTGTTTCGGACACGTCACCACTTTCAGTTTTGTTCGCTAGTTTAACCTGAAACTGAAACACATAGCATGTATTATGATATTGGTCAACATTTCCGAAAAAATAAAATGAATATTAACCCATAAACCATGTTCCTGTAAACAAGAGTGTTTTTTTTCTTTCCATATGTTTGTACCAACTATTCACAGTTATATAACTAAGGCAACATTTAATATGTGTGTAGCTTTAAATTATATTATGGAAATTGTAATGGAATGCATGGTTTCCAATGGTTTAGTTTGAAATCTTTAATTAATGCAGCTGGTTAAGGCATAATCGCTAGTAGCCTCCCTCCCCCCAAAAAATGGCACGTAAAATATGCTACTGCTGAGAAATATTACCAGATGAATAACCTGCAAATTAAATCCTTGACTAGTAAATACCCCGTCGAGTTTGCCGGGCAGAGCAGTTTGTTGAATTTGAAATTCCCTTGGAGATGACCGGTAAGTCTGAGAATGACATGAAAGGGACAGTGCCGACAGATGGATTGTGTTCCATCACGGTTTGCAGGGCTGTTCGTGGGCGTACATTACGCGGGTGTGGGGTGGTTGTAATTCCCCAATAATCAAAACCGTTCAATACAACTACACCGCCCCAACTAATTATGTCTCCCCCTAAACGGATGGAGACCTTAAACCCCCTGTTCAAACCGAAGTTCAGCTACTCAGGCAGCGAAAACAAACGAAGCAAACCAGGTGATCTATGTGGGGAGTTGGTTATCGTAGCTTGCAGAACATACAGAAGCGACTACCCATGCATCTGAATATTTTAACTTAGTATAATAATATGACACCTGGTAACACTGAAATGGGAACACCAATAACAAAAAGACGCTTGTGTGAATAACAGAGGACTGTAGTATTGCAACGGATATTATATTGGGGCTATTCTTCTGGGATCGTGGAGAAGGCAGCGATCTGCGCATGACGCGCTACGATCAGCAGACAGACAGAGGGAGGGAGGGAGAGGGAGTGGGAGAGAGCAGAGGAAACGGTTCGCAAAATGGATGCGCGCAAACTTTCTGTTTCTATTTGACGCGCCGGAGGACTGCGTGACTTTCAGCGTCCCTTCGCGTGGACTGGCCGGGACGGCGCGTGAGCCTCGCCGTCCGGGGGACCCCGGGCGTCCCCGGCCTCGCGCATAACCCCCGCATGCTGTCGGCTGGTCGCTCTCTGCTTCCTGGTTGCAAAACACCTTTTTTTTTCTCTCCCTTGAATAAATTGCGTTGTTAATATATAAAGGAAGGTTTATCCGAGAATTACCCAGTGGCTACGTGGTAATATCGCATGGAATCTTAACCTTTAATGATTTTTTTCCCCCCGGAATTTTTATTTTAGTATTTTCTTTGCTTTTTTGACGTTATTTTATAAGAAAATGGGAATGTTGCCAGCGAAGGACGGACGCCTCTGCCAATGCTGCTGTCCGAGAGGAAAAAGGAGAATTGACTAAAAAGGACATTTAAAAACAAAAGGATGGAAAATGGGAGCAATGCAGCGGACACAGGTGATGGTTATTCCAGCGTTAATCGACCTTCAGCTAACCGGCTAAACCCGGCTGACCAGCTGAGCCACGCGCGGCGTCGTTTCGGCCACTAAACACACACGAAGGCTAGTCTTTTTTGTAAATAAATAAAGAGAAAATTCATTTAATTTCACTCAAATGTTTTGTAGGAGCCGTTAAGTATGAGCCATGCACATAACCAGTTAACGTGGCTTATTCAATCGAATTAGAAACGGTTGCTAAGCTGTACGTGGTCAAAACGGCACTCGCCGATGTGGTGGTCAGTGAAATGGCCACGACGGGAAAACGATGTTTCGCAATATAACAAATAATTGCTAGCTAGTTGTTCAACAGATGGAAGAAATGTAGTAGTTAACGATGTTTATTTTTCGAAAAAAAAATAAAACGTTACCCTTTTGTTTGCGGAAACTGGTGCTTAACGTTTATGTTTGTTGGTATTTGTCATTAGGTCGATTATAATTAAGTCATAATATATCAATTCAGTTATTATAACCAGGATAATGTAGGACTTAAGCCACATGCAAAGTGCTCTATTATAATTAACGAAAGTTAAACCATACCAGCAGATTGTGTTTTGCTACAGTGCAGTTCCCAAAATGCAGTTTATTGTCATATGGTGCTTATTGTTAAAATGGCATGAATTGTGGGCAGCAGTTGTGTAAAAGAACAGGGCCTGTCAACAAGAAACGCGGCTCCAATATAAACCATGGAGAGTGACCTGCGATGTCTCACTGGTCACCAAATTGAATTAAAGAAAAACTGCTTTATACTTAGGTTTTTCAGTTTGTCTGCCCTGACTTCAGGAGCTATTAATGCAGATCTGTCAGCTTGATGTAAATTTTATATTCATTTACTAACAGTAGGTATTTGAGTAACAGCTCAAATCATTCTACATCCATGGCGGCTGGTGTGTAAAGAATTCCATAATCTTGTATCTGTGACGTTCCCAGCTGGAAACAGACCTTCAAACGACTATGCATCTTGTCTTTCTTTCTCCACCACCCCACTGTGGTTCATATGCAGATAAGCTGGACTGGATACAGTGGAATGCTTAATAGAATCTATTTCTGTGATTCGGCTTATGTGCTGACAGAAAACTACAGTGTGCTTCAGTTTGCTTTGGTCTTTTTGGAGTTCATGTATTGACCAGTATCGCAAACAGCGTTCTAATTCCATTACCTGCTTTCCCAAAGAGCTGAGTGTAGAATGACAACCCTAGATACCAATCTTTCTTCATTAGTATCCACTTCAGTGCATGACTGAACATGCCATTCAGAAGCCCAAAGACTTCCTCCACTTTTAAAAATTAAATGCTTTGAAACTAAAAATGTTTCTAGTGGTGCAACATGTCTGTGTAGTTTCAGGGACAGAGCATGTATCTTGAGTCATTTCCTTAAACGATAAATTCCTTATGTCCAATGCCATTTTCTTTTTAACATAAACATCAGTCTGTTTGTGGAAGCTGATGTACAGCCCTGAGGTGAAGATATCTTTCAGAAGTTAGGCCTTAAAACATGATTGCCGGTATCTTAGTTTAAAAGTAGTGTAGTGCTGTAAGAACTGCATTTTAACCAAATGGTTCCTGGTGATGTCTTACATTTTTCTGGTTCAATAGCAAATTTGGCTATTAAAAAATAAGATTTGCTGGTAAGACATTCGTATGTACGCGTTTCTTTGTCAGGGAGCTATTTTGCTGTGCAACCTTTCATGATCTGCTCACGATTAAAATGTAGAATCTGTGGTCGGATGAGTAAATTTCATCAGTAAAAGTGTGGCAGATTTCCTCTGGAGTTCAGACCTTTTGCTCCTGGGAGTTTTGTAAGCACCTGACCTAAGACTTGGCATTGTCGCATTCCCTGGTCAAAAGCCGTTAGCATCAGATCTAACAGTGAAATGGTTCATGGTTTCTCACTCTTGATGTAGGTATGGCATGAAAATGTAGTTGATGTCCACCCCTCCTTCATAGGTAGATATCCCAAGGAATATTGCAGAAATCCAAGCAGCAGACCACAATACCAAGTGATTAAAAGGAACAGTATAAACAGATTTAAAAATCAGTGTAACTGTTGGGAATTGTGTGGTGTAAGGGCCATTTCCTGCTACTGTGCCTCAGAGAGCATTTGCGTTAGATTTTTATAGATAATTATAGATCTGTTTGGTGATTCACTTTCAAGAAAGAATGGATAGGGCAATATTGTTTTAGAAGGTTATGGCCTGTTATCTTTACCTGTACTTATCTGTACCCTTTGTAACACCGATTTCCAGTATGTGCTAACTGGAAAAATGAACTTTGTTCTTGAGCACCGGCACCTTCTTCCCTGATTGATTTTCTGTTAGGGAAAAAAAACAGACACTACAGCACATTTCCTGTTCTTTGCTGGGAATCTCACCAATAAACACACTGCTGCTCATCCTGTTTTTGCTCCAGGTCTGCTGGAACCTGTGCCACTTGATTCCGAAATCTTTAAGGGCAAAATTCTGCCCGTGCTGCAGGATGGCCACATGTATTCCGAGTCTGAACGCAGCTTTCGTTACACCTCTGTGCTCTTGGTGAATAGCCCTGCCCTGCAGGAGCAGGTGAGTGCCCTCTTCGTCCCACTCTAGTCCTCGCACAAGTCCTTCATCTGAGATTGGCTCCTTCTCAAACCTGCTCAAGAGATACTTGGCCTGAATATACACAGGCAGGTGTGTGGAGTTATGGGTTCTGTGTCTGGAAGGTTGCTGGTTCAGATCTCATAGTGGGCAGTGTGATAAAATCACTGTTGTTCTCTTAACCATGAAGTTTGCACCAGGAGTGTTGGATACATGGTTTACCCTGCTCTGTGACTCCAAACTTTGCTCTGCTCTGTAAAATCTCAAAGGTGATCTCGGATAGGATATGCATTTACATTTACATTATGCCTATTTTAGCAGACACTCCAGTCCATGGACCAATCAGGGATTAGGCTGGGCTTCATTAATCCCAGGGGGAAATTGTGGGTTAAGAGCCCAACAGTGAAGGCATGGCTTCCAGCCTCAGGGTTCGTACCTGTGACCTTGTGGGCATAGACCCACTGCACCACCAAAACCAAAAGTATAAAAAAGCTATGAGTGACCCAGTCATAGTCCTGCATGTGTGTGATTTTGTCATGTGTATCGGTGCCATTGACTTGTAAGTGTTGGCCCTGAGTCTTGGTATTCCCCCTGACAGTATTCCAAGTTCCGTGCTGAGAGAGAAGAGAGCGGTTACACGCATGAGGAGCTAGAGGAGTCTTTCGGATTTCTGTTACTCGATGACGAGAACAAGGTAAGCAAATTAAGGGTAGCTCAGTGATCCTCTGACATCTAAAACTCCCCTGGTCTCTTCTAGGACAGAGAACTTAGTGCAGAACTAGGTGTTTTAAAGGACAGTTTACACGTGTGTGTATAAGTCTGTACAATAAAGGAGAGTATATTTTTAAAGGAGAGTAATGATTAGATCATCAGATGTTTTAAATATTGAACAGATGAGTATTGAAACTATATAAGACTTTATTTAACCTGTTGAAACTAACCTTGAATTTTTTTGTTAAATGAAGTGTAAACCACACCTCTCCTTCTCCTTTAAAAGGTAAACAATCTGTGTGAAACCGGCTTAGCAGTTGGGCATAGTGCGTGTTTCACCCTGGGCGATCCATCGAAAGGTATGATAACATTCACCCACACCTCACTCCTTCCTGCTCTGGCCCTTTAAGGCTTGGGGGCCATCTCCTGACCTGTGTTATTCCTGTGCATGTGAGCCGTGCTCCCTTTCTGTCTTTTGAATAGTGTCTTGGCCGCTACCCAGTAGCCACGCCTCTGTGTTTCACCCATGCACATTTGAAACAGTGTAGCATGCTACATGCTATATAAGCCGTTAGCTGCTAACTTCCCTTGAGTCAGGCTTTGTAAGAGCAGGGACTGCTGCTTTGGCTCTCTGTTGGCCCAATGCGTGACCTGTGCAACCCTGGACCGCACCTACTCCAGGGTTGGTTTACTCTAATTCAAAATTGCTGGGCAGATTCCAACGCATGAAGCAAAAATGAAAGTACCCGTATTCTTTCCTTGTTTACATTAGCAGCTTCTTCAGCACTTCTATCTTTCCTCGTGCATGCATGTGAGCACCTGTAAAGCCACTTATCGGTATATATTTCTCAAATGAATTGTAGCCTTTAAAGGGCTGCGGTCGATTCGCCTCCAGCTGTTTAAATAGCAGCAGATGCTGTCTTCCAACTCGTTTCTGTGGAGGAGATTCCCCCTGTGCCCTCCCCCTACCCCAGACGCCCAAATGCAGGAGGGATCTATCCCTGAAATGACACAGCTGAAGGAGGGCCGTGGCCAGCCAGAAATGAACCCCGCTTACCCGCTGCTGGGAGCAGATTGCTTCACTCGTGTCTGGGCTCTGGTTCTTCTGAAAATGAAAGCGAAAGAGTACTGTGCTGCTTTGTGGGGCAGCAGAGGTGGGAGGAGGGACAGAGGGAAGAAGCTAACCAGGGCCTCCCACTGGCTGATACGGGGAATGAAGTAGCGAAAATGTTAGCCTGGGAAAAGGAATTAAACAATGTGCATCAGAATTCAGTTCCCCAGCTTCCGAGTTAGTCTCCTGTCTTGTTGGAAAGAATGGTCAGTTTAGTTTCAAAACACTCCTGTGTACTATTTATTAGTAAGTTTAGTAAGTTGCTCCTTGATTATGCATCGCCTGACCTGCCAGTTTCATGTGAGGCCCTCCCACCTCCTCATAGCCTGCAAAGCCCTATAGCGGAGCTGTTCCCCATGTTCCCTCTTACTGCGTTATTTATAGGAGAGCCAGTTTTACACTGACAGTCATTCTGAGACGGAGTATATCCTCATGGACAAGCCTCAGGCATCAATGAGGCTGCGTATTATTCAAATGCACGCAGCCACTGCATCTAAACCCATTCAGAGAATCCTGAAGCATCAGAAAAACTTTCCACATTTTTTTTTTTTTTTTTATTATTTTAGGGAACTTTTCATTTTTGTTGCAATAAATTACATCTATACATGTCATTCCAACTAAAGCACCATTGGGTTAATTTCATGTCCTGGTTTGTCCTTGTGCCTTTGAGGTTTTCTGGCTGAAAAGCCACAGGCCTGGAGCTTGATCTAGTTCTTTCTGCTTAGGTAGTTAATTTACAGGCTACTTTTTTCCTACACACACACACACACACACACACACATACACACACACACATACACACACACACACACACACACACACACACACACACAAAGTTCCCATGCCATGTGAGACTGGAGTTTGTTCAAATGTCAGGCAGCTGTGTCGTTGACTAAGTGGCCGTCGGGAGGCGGTTATTTTCCGAGCGAAAGTCTTCCTGATGGTTCAGGGCAGTGGCCCCAGTGAGCTAATGCGCATGAACGGTGCCTGGTGCAAGCATGGCCTGTTCAGCACTAAAGAACCAGCCGCCTTTTTGAATTTGTCTCGAAGTGGTGTTGCGCGACCCTTGCATAATGCTTTGCATTGTGTTAGTCGGAGGGCTGCTGAGGCTTTGAAAACAGTGGCACAGCACTGAAGAGCTCTGTGTTCTGGCTTTTAACATCCATACCAAAGCGGTCTAAATGCCATAGAACTCGTAGATTTTATAAGGCAATCTGCAGTTTATTTTACATACTTAAATGGTATTTAGGGAAATATACCAGTGGCTGAAGCTATCAGCTAACCAAAGTCTTGTCAGTTACTGTAGGCAGCTTAGTTTGGGGAAATGGTCACTATCGGGCTGACTGGGCTGTCATGCTGTTAACCCAAAGCTTTTGTGAGTTGCTTGGCTTGGTTTGTGGCACGCTGGAGTCACGCTAGCAGCTGAGCTGAATCAGAACACAGTTTTGGATTTAGCTTAGATAAATTTTTGTGGTCTCGAAGGAATTTTTCTTTGGACAAATAGCATAACTGCTATAGGTAAAAACATACAACAGGTAACGTAACACATAATACATGAACATTCATCTTTTACACCTACAAAGCAAATCCATATACTGTCACAGACCCCTCCCCATTCACCGCATTTAACACGCTAGCAAAAATGCCTAAATAAGTAAAATTGGGAAGGGATGCAAGCATTATGCGGAGGTTACTTTGTGAAAAAATCTGGGGAAAAAAAAACAGAAATGGGGGGGCAGGGTAGGTCAAACTGCACATACGGTAAATAGTTTCCAGGTTCCAGATACCCAAAACCGCCAGTCACTAGGGAAATTATTTTTCCGGAAGGAGAAGGTGTTTTGGGAGTTTTTTTTTTCCATTTTATTTTGTTTCACTTCTCAGAAAGAGTGTGCTTGTTTCAGAATGCGGTGTACACCAATAGTGAAATGAGACCTCGTAGTGCCTCGGGGATGGGGGGTCAAGTCATTCTTCAGTGTGTAAACACGGATAACCTGTAAAACAGGCTGGTCCACCGTTAGGGTCTTCGCTGCCTCTCAGTTCCTAAACTCTCTCTCTTCATGGAAGCTGACATTTACTTAAGAATGGAGCACAGCAATGGAATGGAAGAGTGAAGCTGGACGTGTGGTTCTGTGACACTGATACTTCACACATTTTGAAACGTCACGGATGGTATTACTATGGTGTTACTGTATTACTGGTGGTATAGTCCTGGGGGGTTACTCCTGTAAATGTTGTTTTCTTTGTTGTTTATAGGCGTTTATATCTCAAAGTACTCTGACTGCCTGGACCTGAACCCCTGGTATCAGAGGAAGACTGGCTACGTCGTCGTGTTCAAGTTGACCAAGGTAATGAAGGCACTAGGATTTGGGGGGAGGGGGGGGTGTTTCACGAGGGCTCTTTCTGACTGACATGAGTGCTGTTGGCATATTTAGTACTGCTAGCACATTCTTACATTCCACAAAGTCGTTGAGCTGAGGAGGCCCTAGGTGTACAGCTGTCGGTGGCACACAGGAATACATGTATGGATGTATAGTTCCTCAGAGAAGGCGCTATACAGATATTATGGTGAGGCATTCTCCACCGTTTTTCCACAGGGTAGGGTCAGAGCCGTCGCGGAGAACTACACCCAGAACTACACCCAACCGACACCAGGCTTCGACTGCCACATGTCGGAACAGATCTCCACTGTCTCCCCCGCAACCTGCTCCTTTCTGGCATACGAGCGCACCCAGGTGAGCCAGCCCAGACGTGTCACTTCCTGCTCCGCCTCAAACCGCCCTGCTCTTAACACTCACGCTTGTGCTGCAGTATTACCTGTACGAGCTGCGCCCCGGGGGCCCCCAGACCAGACGCCCCCGCCACGCGTGTCCCTTTGCTGCCGTGGCATTCACCTACGGCGAGGCTGTGCCCACCACCTCGGTGCTACAGGAGCAGAGGTGAACCTCGTTCTCCGCGCGCCAAGCGCTACATATCAGTGCTGCTGTCTGCCTATAATGCGAATCCCATGTCATTATGGAAAGAAACCTTGTATATCCAGGGATGCTGGTGTGGTGTGGATTTGGCGATTTTATTTATTTATTTATTTATTAATTCACTCAGTCCTGCTACAATACATCATATCACACCACAAATCTGTTCTAACACGGTTGATATCTAAAATGGCTATCCAAGTGAACAATAATGTTGTCCGATTTGTGAAGGAGTCATTTATTGGACTGGTTCTTTTCAGTGAATCGGTCAAACAGGTTTTCATATTTAAAGAATTGAATTTTTCGGCACCTTTGATTGAAGCGATTACTAGGGAATTCTCATGATACTCACGGACCTCCATACATGGATGTTTATGATGTAATTTATTAATGCCTTTATTTCTTATTATAATATATAAAAATGCATATAATTATATTATTGGTCATTATTCTATTTAATTAATTTAATTTGGTGTAAGTTTTGGAGTCGCCGTCCCCAAGCCCCATTATTCCCTTTGGATTATGTCCATTTTAGTACACCGGGGGCAGCATGTGTCTCAGTGGGCTGAGCCTGTGATCAGAAGGTTGCAGGTTCAAGCCCGGCCTCAGCACATCTGTGGGCCCTTGAGCAAGGCCCTTAACCCCCAGCTCCCTGGGCGCCGCAACAGGTGGCTGCCCCTCACAGCAAGATGGGGGAGGTGAAAAAGAGAATTTACCCATATAATATCAATAACTGCATCTATTATAATTATTATTGCTGTTATCGTACACGTGGTTTTTCAGGAACGCATTAGTTGCCTTGTAGCAGGATTGAGTGTACGTACAAGCATAGTATCATTAAAGATTTCCTTTAACATGTGAATTGGTTTCAGATGTCCTCTGATAGAAAAATGTCAAATACTACATTTAGATACTAAAATATTAAATGTACTTAGTTGCGTACTTCTTTAATAGCAGTCTATTTTCAAAGTTTTTAAATATAACAGTTTGAGAAGCATCTTTTATGGATTTGCTGTGCTTTGTTTTTTTTCCTCTCCAGTTTCGGCCTGAACAAAACAGGTATGTATTTAAATGTTACTGGGGTGTGACTCCAGTCATGTGACTGAAGCTTTTGTCATTGTGTAGAGTATGTAGACAGTTTTTAAGTTTTAACAGTGGGAAACCATGCAGTGTGGAACCTTAGCATTCAGTAGCTGTTCTACAGTTTGGTAGTTTTTATGCAGAGGATCTTTGGATACGTGTGATAATGATGTTGTTGGTTCTGATGGCGGATAGCGGTTCACTACCACCCCTGGAGCGGTCAGCTCCAGGTCGGGTCCCTGGTTTTCCCTGTGGCCCTGAGATCCAGCGCCAGTGCCGTGCTGCCGTCGCAACTGTGAGTAGCACCCTGCTCTCTGCTGTCACTTATCACCTACATCTGTCACTCACCATACTGCCTGGACCTGTTCTCCAGCTTGTCACTCAACCAGTCCCTGTGCCTTGCCACTCTCTTATAACCAACATGCATACTCATTACCCCTTAGCAGTCATATGCTTTCTAGGTCTACATACAAAACAGCAGAACCCCCCAAAATATCCCTAGGAGTGTGTATTTGGTGGTGTGCTTCAGACTCCACTCTGAAGTATCTTGTTATCTTCTCAGGTTTACACTGTATTTTCATTTTTGGGTAATAATGTGTAGTTTTGTTTGATTTTAAAAACTGCAAGAGTCACCATTGTTGCTGACTAATATGGTGTGTGTGTGTGTTTTTTTTTCCCTCAAATATAGACCAGCTACTTTGAATATTGAACATTTGATCAGACTCTCGGACCTGAAGAAACTGCTACCACAAGCCATCTTTGAGACCTGCTTCTGCAGTGAAGGTATGGGCCAGGTGGCCATTTGTGTTGACATTTCAGGCATGTGTCTATAAGCAGAGTAGGGCAGGGATCCTGTTTCTCTCTTCTACCTGGAGTTCAAGGGTCAAACCCAGATAGGAACATAAAAGCATGCCATTGACTGGATTGAGATTTTTTTTTTCTGTAGTTTGCTTCGAGGGCTGGTACTGCAGTCTGCATGTGGTTTTCTCAATGACAGCTGAGGAACAGCTTTCTCAGCTCGCACAGGAACTGAAGGATAAAGATCTGGTGAGTTGAGCCTCTTTTGAATAGACTCGCTCCATCCCAATATCAATATATATATGCATAAGCATAGGGTCCTCTTTGTTGTTTTTGTTGAGTAGTCATGCTAAATTTTTCTTTTATACCCTCAAGGCACTCATCCTGAGGCTGAATGACTCAGGCTTCCTGGTTTTCCTACACTCATCTTTTTTGCTCACCTATGAAGGTACGTCAATGTTTTGGTTTGAACAGGAGTTTCCTTTTAAAAGCACCCAGGACTTTCATTGGCCTTTATGCCCTTTGATTGAATTGTCACTTTCAAAGTCAGACAAGCTACACACCTTTGAAGTTAATGTTGCAGGGAACTGTGAGGTTGAGTATTTTTTATTGAGTGTATTGGTAGATTTTTTTTTTTCTTTCTTGCCTGCGTTGAAAGAACCATATTTCTGAACATTTTCAGACAGTATGTCGCGGCCGGAAGATGTTCTCCAAGGTCTCTTTGTATTCCAGAACTCTAGAGTTGTCCAGAAAGGTAATGGCACGTCACTCAAGCCTCTTATGCAGATAGATAAAATTGACAGATCCGTTTCTGGGAGAAATTCATTTCCATGCTGCAGCAAGGGAACTTAAAATGAAACTCATATTGTAAAACTCAAGAAAAAATTAGAAAACAAAACGCATATTGCAAAAACGAATAAATAGAGGAATATAAACTATGATGCACACAGATAAAGAGCACTGTACATATATTTGTCAGGGTTTAAATTCATAAATAGCACATCTTGTGCTAAAAGCAAACTACTTATTTGAAATGGGTATACAACAGTGGTTAAAATTTTAGTTCAATACAATTATTTTTTCAGAATATAATTGGTTTTTCAGGTTCATGAACAATTCTTAATTATTATGCATTTATTTGCAGAGGTGTGAGACCATGCATGCAGATCTGCAGATGCCTATAATTTGGTGAATTGGTTCTGTTTTCTATTATATCTGTAGACATGAAAAACTGGAGATCCAAACTTCTTCTCCCATCTGAGATATTAAAGGCCTTGCCAGGGTTGACCTACGCTGAGGCTGAGGTCGAGAAGTGTCCTTCCAATCAACAGGCGGCGCCATGCTACCTGGTGGAAAAGCACCTACAGAACTATGCTGCCCTTATCCAGCCGGGGATGCGTGACAGCCCCTCTCAGGAGGCCAGCATTTTTCCGGACCAGTATGACGTGCCGGATGTATCCAAGCACCTTCGTAGTGCTCCGGGGACCACGGAAGCCAGCCGTCTGCGTCTCTTGTCATACCTGAACCAGCCAGAAGACTATTCCTTGCCCATAACAAGAGTCATGGAACTGCTGGAGGTTGGAAAGGATGATGAGGTTATTGACCTAGACAATGACACATACTACTGCATCTCATCCCCAGATGATGCACCTGTTACTGCCACAGGTTCTTGCAATAATGTGAACTTGGAAGAGGGGTTGAGTGAGAATCAGGATTCCATTTGCATGCCTGGGGCAGAGTTGGGAAGTGCGATAGTGGGAGGAGAGAAAAAGTTAAGGGAAGAACCTCAGACCCTGGTTGGGAAAGAGACTGAGGGGATGTTTGATGTGCCATTGCAACCCCTTCCTTCAGAGGATCATGGGAGGCTTAGTATGTTAGAGTTGGCCAGCCTTGACGGTTCTGTACAGACTTCAGGAACCCTGGCCAGTTCCTCATTACAGGAATTGCCCTTGGCCGAGGCCGGGGACACCACCAAGAGGGTAGCACCATTGTTGATCGTTCGACAAATTGGAAAGCGCAAGAGTAGAAGGAGGAAAAGAAGAAAGGGGAATTTGACCATTGTCAGTCAGGAGGCCCCTGTGGGTGAGAGTTTCTTGGAGAAGACTGAATCGGCCACCATACAGCCAAACACATTAAAGAGGAAGACTTACCAATATGGTCTGAGAACCATCATCACTGACTGTGGTAGGGTTTTCATCCCACATGGCTCCCAAGACATTACCAGTTCTACTGTGTCTATGACAGACACGGAAAGAGTAACGGATGCTATAAGCAAAGAAACTGGTGCAAGGACAGATAGCCCACTCGTTCCGAATGAGAGGGCAGATGGTGAACTTTCACCCAGGGAGTGGGTGGATAATCAAGCTGTGCTGATAGAAGCAGCAGAGCAACATGTGTCACCTTTAGTGAATGGTCAAGCTCCAGCAACAGAAGGAGCTAGTAGATTGGCTCCATCACTAAGGAAAGTAGATGGACGGCTTACACTCAGAAAGACAAAGCTCAGAGGACAAATTGTATCTGAGGAGACCAGGGACAAAGAAGTACAACCTTCTGAGATAGTGGACCGTGGACTGACTATAGACATGGAAGCCCCATCTATGGCGGTGACAGTAGAAAAGGGAGATACAGAAGCTGTTAGCACGGAGGTAGCAAGTGGACAGACTTTGTGCATTGCCAGGGAAGATGGCCAACTCCTTCAGCCTAATGTAGATTCAGTCACACCTTTCACCTTTCAATCTATTGAAAACAGAGGAGTACCAACAAATGTCCCTCCTCATACCAACATCACAGATAAGAAGCAGCCAGAACTATCTATTAGTACAGCCCACCAGAAGGGAAAAAGAAAGAATCCGCTGTGTCTAATAAGTCCACTGTTGACTGTATTAGGGGATGCTAACGAATCAGCCATCCTGAGCAATGAAGGACCTCGGCCAAAGAGGGGTAAAAGCTGTTTGAGTGAGAATGAAGCAGAGAATCTCAACATCAACTGCGGTAACACTGTGGCTCCAACACTTGCAAACATTTTGTCTGATTCTAGCCTGAGAAAGGCTTTGGGCTCGGACCCTGAGCTTGGAGTACAGGTGGAAAGGGCTGAAGGAAACCCCAAGGTAAGGACCTGGCTGAGAAGGGGTATCCCAAGGAAGTCGGACATTGCGGATTCTGATGGAACACAGTGTATTCAGAAGAGCCCAATTCCTGTCACTATGACAGAGATTGAGAAACTGGTCAAGCCACTGAAGAAGCAGCTCAGGAACAGGATAACGAAGTATATGAAAGAAAATGGTAGGTTTGATGGGTCAGAAATTCTGAAATTTCCTGAAGTTACCTGTGTACATTACTATACAGGGAATGGTTTATGATGATCATCATTTTGGCTTGGCGTTTAATCTAAATAATGGCTATTTGACAGGCCCAGATCTAAACTGGGAGGCAGTTAGAAATTTTGGGTGGGCACCTTTTTATGCAATGGATTATACTGCTGTGCAATGGTACCTTATGACCAGAGAAATAGTTGGGTCGCATGAACATATTCATATTTCATGTTTGAACTATTTGTGAACTATGCGTTATGCTCTCATAGACATCACTCTAATCAGTAAAGACAACAATAATAATTATTATTATTAATATTATGTGATTTCTGTAAGGTGCTTTGGACAGAAGTGAAACATGTATATACTGGCATTTTAAAGGCAAATTTGGAATTCAGACTCAATAACTGATGTTTAAGAACATAAGAACAGGACATGTAACATGAAGAGAAAAAAAAATATTAGCAAATTAAATATAAATATAAATTTATATAAATATAAATATATAAAATTATCAGCACCAGCTCTAATTACTGGCACAAGACGTCTGACTAAACATTCATGTAGGACTGACATTTAGTACCGGTTGGGATGGTGCACTGTTCAGATTGCTGAGATGGTTTGCATCAGCAGGAACGACTCCTAGGTGTGCACTGTATTTATGCAAAATGGGCAGGGACAGTGTAACACTGCTTGAACTGCCCCTTGATCTGACGGCACAGGTTCCAAAGCCTGGTTGTTCAAGCTAACAGCAGCTGTAGCTGAATTGCTAGTAGCAAGCTTTGATTTGGGAACTGAAAATCTTTGCATGAGTGTTTATGGCTACTTCTTGCGCGTAATCTGTCTAACCAGGTAACTTTACACTGAATGCTGATATCAATGTTAGCTAAATGTTAAATACCGTTTAGTGAGCTTGCTAGTAGGGCTGGGTGATATAGCAAAATATTTTATCATGATCATTTCTTTAATATCAGAAGTATATCATGATAGTTCTTTCTTTATTATTTCAGTGTTCAGTTTTTGCTTAAAATTCTCTTAGAATTGCCCTTAAACAGATTCAGAGGCTGAAAAAAGCATTGAATGGATTGCAAACTGAAGTATAAAAAAATCTTTTTGTCGTGGGGTTTAACCCTAGAAAACAGCAACAGTACGTGTTTGACTGGGGCTGTCCTAAAAATATCACAATATTTTCAGAGATTTTCACAATATTAATATTTATCACAATATTCTAAAATTCATATGTAGAAAATATGATGGTGGTTTTTAGTTTTTCTGATTGACCAAATTGTTTTACTAGTAGATATGGAACTAACTGACGTGTAATGATAAATTATGCCAACGACACACTCGTACCTTTTTGGAATTTGTGTAAAAATAATGCTGTATAACTGTTAATTATGCAAAAAACATGTATTGAGGCTATATCAAATAATATTCAAATTGATGATGAAATGATTATATAGATATATTACCCAGCCCAACTTGCTAGCTAACAGTAACTTCAGCTAGCGAACTGTTTAGTAAACTAAACTACAACCAAAGATCTTTCTTTAATACAATACTACAACAAACTACAGCAAACAATTTTAACAAGAATAAGCTTTAATAAGAATGAACTAATATTCCTCTTTCGCTATCACGGTCAAGTACAATTACTCCACATAATGATATCTGAGTTAAAACATCACTGTTATTTATTCTGTCTAACCATCTAATCAGAAAACTGGAAATTCGGATGGCATGAATGAAATGAACATTCAAATGGGGCAGAATAAAGTTGGTCGATGGCTTGTATTAAGTTATATGTGTATTACATCAGTTTGTGCACAGTGGCCATTTTACCAGGGAATGTCGAAGATGTCGTACGTTGCTCAGATGTGCCAAGTTCGATGCTTCGTTTCAATGTTAATGAAATTTCATATAAACAAAATTTATAAAGAGTGCTCAGAACCATAAAAAGCTGTATTTTCTTCAGGCAAAAGGTGCGAGTCATTTCTTGTTAATGTTTGAAGGAAATAATCTACCACCACAGTTGACCATAAAGTCTAAATACAAGCGCAGTGAGACATGCTTTCTTAAATTATCATAATGTGTGTATTTTCCGCTTTGTCTTAGTATGAGTCAGTGGCTTTAAAACAGAAGTCTCCAACTCCGGTCCTAGAGAGCTACTATCCAGTAGGTTTTCTATCCAACCTGGCGTCTGATGAGCCACACCTGTTTTTGGGTAAATACCAGGAACAGGTGTCACTCATCAGAAGCAAGGTAGGATAGAAAACTACTGGATCATAGCTCTCCAGTACTGGAGTTGGAGACCCCTGCTATAAAACCATCAACGTGTAGCTGATACAAATTTAATTTTGTTCTTAGGAACAAAGGTAGCTAGCCTGATTTATTGCTAATGAAGTCTTCCAAATATGACAAACCACAAGATGCCACTGCCTGAACATGTCTGTTGAAATTAATTAGAATGCCCTAGCAGGCTAGCAAGTTAATCCACAGCACAACTGTTTGCTAATCACTTTATTTTTCAGCCTTATACTGACATTCAGTGAGCAATATCTGGTGGTACGTTTTAAGTACATACTTAAGGCAGTTTGCACCAATCCCCAAAGCAGCTTCTTTTCTTGGATTATTGCTAAAAATGGTGATGGGCTGTATTTAAAAGTTTGTAAGTCTGGTGATGAAAGTTTTTGAAATGACGGAAAATAAATAAAATCACATTTTAAGTATTTTAAATACATAATATACAACCTCTCAAAGTACATTGATACGAATTACATCTTTTTTGTTCATTGAGCAAAATACAAACTAAAAAATACTGAAAAGTAAATAAATATGTGTTTTAAATACATTTAATTGAAATTCTGCCTGTAGGAAATGCTCAGAACACCAACGTGCCACTTCCTGACAGTACCATCGTTCAAATTCTTTCAATTGATGGCTTTTAGCCAAGCTTTCTGTCACCGTTCCACTATTTCTTCAGTTTCTTTGATTTGAACAAACTGACGGTATTTTTTTTCTTGCTGCTGTTGCTACAGCCAGACACACCGTCAATAGTCACCGTCAATAGTCACCGTCAATAGTCACTATCGCCTTACTCGTTCCCTGGTAAAATGGCTGCCACCTCGTTTTCATTTATGCATACTTTGACGTTGAAGTCGGCTTAATACAACCCCTTGGGCGGGCAGAGCAGAAATTTGTAAGCGGTACTTACTGCAGAGCCACCTCAATGTCCAGCCCCACCTCTCTGGACCTAGTGAAGCGTCACCCCTCTGCCAGCCAGTCAAATTGCATTTATACAAATATCCCAAGAGAGCTATCAATTGGGAAAAATAACCAAAGATGGCAGGCCAAACTCCGTAGATGGCCATGTTTGTATATTAATATACAGGCGACCCTTGAATAACACAGGTTTAGACAGTGAGGATCCACTCTAGCGTGGATTTTTTTTTTTTACCTTTTTTTATTTAGTCCACTGCGCTTCTGCAGGATGACACTAATCTCTGCATGAGTAGTTTCTCTCTATAGAAGCTGACAAGTCATGCTTGCGGTGTTTTTTTATTATTTTTTTTTGGGTGTGTTATCTTGAGAATGACAATTATGTCGTGATAAGTTTTGTTTTCTCTACATAAGAAATTAGTAGAGTAGGAATGCAAACTACATGTTTTAAAAGATGATCTATACGTTTCTATATAGCTCTGTATGTCTGCCATTGTGTAGATAGAACAGGTTCAAGCATAGCACATGGATAGTGGAATAACCCACAAGGATGCCGTAAAGGTAAAAAAATGGTTATATATGCGAGCAGTGTCATGCATGGCATGATGGCCCTGTGATGTCACGATATGTTTCTTTGTAATTACTCAGAGAAAACTATCTTATATTGAGAAAACGAGATTTGTTATCTCGAAGAGAATTATCCTGTTACCTTGAGAAAAGGTGACTTGTCTCAATATTATGAGAATTATATAGAGAGAACGGTATAAAGAAATAATTGCAAGCACGGCCATTCTCGAAACTGAGGAGCCAATGGGGTCAGGCTTGCTGGGCATCTGAACTGGGGTGGTGCCAAAGCGTCGCCCACTACATTGCAGCAGTCAGGTATTCATTTGAGGGAGCCCATCTGGGTAGGAACGTGAAATATCTTGTCTCGTCGGTGTGATGAACATCTTACCTTGCTGTCGGTGGAGCTTCATAAACTCCGCATTTCAGTGCCGACACTCTCTGAGGTATGCAGACCGAGGAGTGGCCAGATCTCTGTAGGTGGGTACCTATTGATCTGATCCCTCTGATGGTTGCCTTACTCAAGGATTAGCAGTTGCTGTGCCGGATTGGCTTATAGTGATGGTGTTTGATGTCATTCTTTTCAACAAGCATATTATGAGATTCGTATTAAGACTCTCTGGAATTCTTGTCTGTTTCTGTTTATGCTCCGACTACACCAAGTGATGTCTTGGTGAGGGAGACATTTTATTCGTAACTTTGCTTGGTGGTTAATGGGTGCCCATGAGGTGACTCTCTGGTCATGAGTGACTTCAGTCTGGCACTGGCAGGGCTGACTATGAGGACTGCTGGACCCCTGGATCTGCGGGTTGCTGGATCCTGGTTCCAGTGCCCTGAGCCACATCATTGGACTTGTTGTTACTACTCTGAAGATACAGCTTAGGTTCAGTAAGCTACCACCTACTAGGAGAATGAGGCTGGCCCTGGTCTAGCAACTCACGTCCTGCTTACAGAGGAATCAAAGCATTACGAACATCAAAATCTATTCTTCAGAGTGTCGCAGTCAGAGCGGGTGATGGAACAGTCCTTATGGATGACACTGCAGTTGTGACCCGCTGGGCTGGCTACTTTGAGCAGCTGTTTAAAGCTGATCCTCTGGATATTGGACACTTGGTTTTTGTGGCTGATCCTCTGATTAGCTGTGAACCACCCAATCTTACAGATTGTATGGGTGATGAACCAACCGGGGGTAGGGAAGGCCTCAGGGCTTTGTGGTATCCATGGTGAACTTCTCCAGGATGGTGGTAAGGCTTTTGTCCTAACATTACAAGCAATCTTTGCTTCCATTTGGGAGACAGGCATCATCCCAGCCGACTGGAAAATGGGACTTGTTGTTCCTATCTTGAAAGGGAAGGTGGTCGCCTGGATTGTGGCAACTACAAGGGATAACACTGCTCTCAGTGCCGGGTAAGGTCTTTGTTGGAATCATCCTCAACAGGATCTGGGATCACTTGCTTGCCTACCAGCAACTAGAGTAGTCTGGTTTTACGTCTATGAAGTCTACCATCGATCATGTACTGGCACTGAGGGTTCTCATCGAGCGCAAACGTGAATGTCGGCAGAATTTTTTTGCAGCCTTTGTTGGTTTTTGTAAATCATTCGACTCATTTGTTCGAGCTGCTCTGTGAGACATTCTGAGACTTCATGGCTGGCCTGTACTCCTGTACTGTGAGTGCTGTGTAAAGTAGAGGAAAAACTTGCGTGTTTCCCTGTGGATTTTGGGGTTCATCAGGGGTGTGTTCTTGCTTTTACTCTGTTCAGTGCTTGCGTGGACTGGGTATTAGCAGGGTCATGGGGTCCAGCAGCTGTGGGGCGTATGTGGTGAGGAAAGAGTTATTGATCTTGACTTTGCAGATGATGTTATGGTCTTCTCTGAGGCTCTGATTAGGGCTATCGAGAGACTGAGTGAGGAGTATGAGTATCTGGGTTTGCGAGTGCCCTGGATCAAAACCAAGATCCAGGCCTTTAATGACCTCTTGGGCCCAGTCGTCAGTAGTATGTCTGTTTGCGAAGAGGGTGTCAACCTCGTCAAGAGGTTCACTTACCTTAGCATTGACATTCATGTGAAGTCCGTAGATGGACTGGGAGAGCATGGGGGTCATGAGGTCACTGGAAAGCGGTGTGTGGGGCTCACGATATTTTTGTAAGAGCATGAAGGAAACTTAAGGTATCGTAACTTAGAGCATTTTTTTCCTCTATCTTTATTGTAAGAATACAGTACAATCGCTAATACTGTACATATAACATAAATCTATGAATACTTTATCAGTAAAGCTTCTAATCACCAGTAGACTATCAATAGTTAAGTTTTTGTGGGGTCAAAAATTCTATGTGGATTTTTGACTCTCTGGGGGTTTCTGTGCCACTAACACCCACATTGTTCAAGGGCCGACTGTACTTTGGTTTTTTTTCCCAATTAGATCTTTAAAAAGTTAGAGAAATATACATTACCCAATCCAATAACACTCTTACTGTAACCAAAAAACATCACCTTGAGTGATTTGCCAGGTGTTTGGCAGCCAGTTGTTTACCATTAGCATGTAGTCACTGAAATAGTTGGGGTGGAACTGGATCTGAGCTGGGGTATGGCTGGACCTATCGGTTTTGCAATGAGCACCCTCTCGAAATTTGTGTATCGCCAACTCTTGCCCACTTCTGGATTCGGCCGTGGCATTTGCATTTCTTATTTCTTTTCCTTTCTGATGGTTTTCTGTCTGCTGCACTCTTTCTTTGCGCTATGTCACTTTCTTCATTCAGTAGTTTCCTTGCCTATAAGGTGATTATTTCTCAATGACAACTACATATGGAAAAAAAACAATGCAAAATAACTCCTTCCTGTTCTTCTTGTCTAATTGTAAAAGGGGGAATGTTTAAAACCATGCTTTTTGCGGCATAAAGTTAGCACTTGGGGGGAAAAAGCCCTCAGGAAGAATAGCACCAAAGCAGAGAACATTGGTTAAGTCATCATTGGGTTTATCAAGTCAAGCTGATTCATGCTGCAGAGAAAGACTGCAGTCTGCTGCTTTGTGTGTTTTTCACCACACTGTTTTCTGTCTTTTTCTCTCTCTCTGCTCTCTTGTTCTCTTACAGGGTGGTTCAATTTTGACACAACCGCTTCATATGGCAGTGACAAACTAACACAACCCCAAGCCCAGGGACACAATTCTGCCGCTAGCGGGGATCGGGGGGGAGGAGGCGTTAGCGGCACCTTGTTTGTGGGCAGTCATAGTCCGGAAGTGGGCGCCAGCCAGTCCCCCGATGCACTCACTTTGTTGGCCGATTTAGCCCTTAGCGCCAGTGATGATAAACTCCTACAGGGCCTCAGCCCAGTTCTGGGAGCGAAGCTGGCCCCCGGGGGGCAAAATTGTGGCACCGGCACAGATGATGACACCGTGGCCGGATCTGTCCTGCACTCCTTGCTGGGACACCCGTTGCCCAAGCGTAGGCCTCGGCGCACTAAGAGGCACTTCCCCATCAAATCCCCATCCCCCAAGGGTGTGATTGTGACTGGAGAACTAGTTTTGGTCATTTCTAAAGAGCACTCTTACTCACTGCCCCCCTCCTGTCTGCTGTTGGGTGTGTCAGGTGTGTTTTCACAGGTCCCCCCCCCAGTCCCATCAGGTCAAACAGACAGCCACTGCGGTAACTCCCCCATTGTCGTTGAGAAGGGTGGTACCTCCCCATGTCAAGAGGTAAGAAGCGCACAGGAAATGCAGCGTCTACCAGCAGAGAGCTCAAATTGCAATTCCAAGGGCAGGAGGAAGACATGTCGATGCTGGAGAAGAGTGGTGGAGGTCGATGGTTTGCTACGTATCACGCGACTGTGGAAGGAAAAGTATGAGTTTTGTCTAGACAGCAAGTACACCAACAACCCCTTGGATAAAGCGGTGACACGGGCTCTTCATGGGTATGTGCAGTTCTCTGAACATCATATTGTGGTATGTGTGTTTATATATAAAAATTTAGTTCTAAATATTAGTTCTAAGAGTATATCCAACAGAAGTTTTCAAAGCTGGTGAAATTAATTTCAATGCTAGTTGCTCAGTGACAGTGTTAAGGTGCAGTTTTGTGTATATAGAGTTCTTAGTGTTTGTCCAGTACATTCTTACTGAGTATGGAGTTTGAGATTTTGGATGATTTTTGTTCTCTTTGGCAGACCATGGGATTCCAGCATTGAGGAGAATATCGAGCAGGTTCACCTTATCCTTCATATGTGGATTGGTCTGTTCTACAGTAAGTCAACCACCAGGTTCTTTCAGACAGACTCAGATGGGGAAATTTTAAGCCCTAACAGGAACCTCCATGCAGCAAAGACTGCTCTAGAATCTGGGTATTCCAGGTTCACACAGGACTTTCACACAACGGAACCTGAGCCTTTGGATCTAAGAGAAGAAAGGAAAATATCAGAAGAACCCTTAAGTCCAACTACAGAAATTTTAGACCTCTCTCAGAACCAGTTGGACGTATTAGACCTTAGTGTTCCAAAATATGGTAGAGAAGAGATGTCTCATGTAGCCAGTGAGATGGAAAGCTCAACATCTCTCCATAAACCTGATAAGCCGATTGACCTGGCCATCACAGATACAGCCAGCAGAAGCATGGTTGTGTCGTTTCTTAACAAGGTGAGATGCCCTTTTGATTACTCAAGTTTTTCTAAGTCAACAGAAACATCTCTTGTGGAAACATATTTTTGTAATTTTTTTTCCTATAGGAACGTAGAGGAAGTGTTGATAGCATTCTGGATGAAGAGCCTGAGGAAGAGAGTGGCAACCACAGTGATTTCCAGAATGACTGCGGATTTGAATTGCAGCACTTAAGTGAACCTCCTCAAAATGACTTTGTTTATGATGAATTGTGTAGGCATACAGGACACATGTACATTTCCGGAGGAAAAGTCTTAAACATGACATGTGAAGGAAAACAGGCCAGGGCATTTGCAACTGTAGTGGCTAGTCAGTTATCTGGCAAACTTGGAGGCCATGTAGATGGTCTTGGGAAAAAACGTACAACTTACTTACAGCCATGCAAATTTACCAGTATTAGTTTTGTACCTGATGTAATCAAGCCACAGCTTGTTGTCACTGACAGTAATTTACTAGAAGGCACAACCAAAAAGGATAGCATTTATAACTGTAATGTCTCTATGCCTGTAGCAGTGCATGATGGGAAGGATCACACTGTTCAACAGAGTGTTGTAAGGCCTGATGGAATTGATTTGGAAGGAGGCAAGGACACTGAAATTCTTGAGTCCGTACAAGTCGAAGTGTACTCAGACCTACTTGACCAAAGCAGACGAGAGGCAGAGGTACCACCCTGTGATGGTCATAACTCCGATGTAGTTGTAGACTTTGTAGAAAGCAACACTAGCAACCAAAGCATTGTCCCTGACAAATGGTCAGATGTTGATGATGTCCGTAACAGTGGCCAGGATTTCAGTGATGCGGTTGCCTCTCAGAAGAGCAAAAGCCCAGCTCCAACATTGGATGAGTTACCTTGTGAACCTAAACCTTGTTTTCATAGCAAAGCGCACTCAAACAAATTATGGAGTAGTCATGATGAAACTCACACTAGCAATGAGTGCACATCCACTGGGGATTTGGGTGGAATAGAAATTCCTAACAGCTCTCCATCATCTCAGCAAGCTGTTACAGATATTCTGACATGTGTCTTTGATGCCTCTGTCCAAAATGCTGACAACAAGCCCAGTCCCGATAGCACTTCTGAACCCATTGTGTCCAGTATTGATATGGACATGGAGAATGCCTTGCTCAGCTGTAACGATTCTGGTGTCCTCTGCAGTAAATCACCTACACAGGTGTCTCAGGAGGGCAGATCTGTATCTCCATTGCACAGTCCCAGTAGATTACACCCCAGCAGCAGCTATAGGACAAATGACCAGAGTATGCCTACATCAACCTCTCAGGAGAATGCCTGTTTGAACAGCAGCTGTAATTTGGATGAAAATCCACAATATAAAGATGGAACATCTGATTCCGTGAATGACTTCACGGTTACACCAGATTCATTACACAGTAGCAGTGGTTCTGCCGTTAAAAGGAGCTACAATCTCCTTAAGAGCTCACAACCGGGACATACTTCTGACTCATTAATGCCAAATCTTTCTACGTCAAATCCTCATTGTAGTGAATCCAGTAATGCAGCAAATAGTCCAGAAAGTTACAAATCATCTCTTAAAGACAGGCCCAGTACCCCCGAATTGTATTTGCAGCCCTGCTCCAGTCCTGGCAGAAGTTTGAATTCATCAGCAATGTTGCAGTCACCTTCAAACAACACCAAAGTGTCTACAACTAATCTGACGCAGTGCAACTACAGTGTCTGTTCTGATAACAAGCACAACCAAACGGAAGAGTCAGAGGTTTCCTTTGAAAAAGATGTAACCTGTGCAATAGACCAGTCCAGTGACCAATCAAGAAACTCCATAGATGACCTGTTGGGCAAGGTTCAGGATGAGTCTCATTCAGGTGCTAAGGATCCATCCAAGTATAATGTGGCGTATGATAATCCTGAACCCTATGATGATAGCATTAATATGCCTATAGACCATAGTCAAAGTAGGTTGCATTCAGACCATATTTCACTTGAAACTCCACCACAAGAGGATTTTGCATCCTGTCCCTCAAGAACATCAGAGAACTCCGATAGTTCACCTGAAGAGAACATCAAAAATTATGAACCACATGCCATCAGGTCCTCCTCTTATAAAGAAATACCAAATCCTGTTAATTATGATTCTGACTTGTGTAGCAGTCTTTTGCATCAGGACCTTCACTCATCCATTGCTGTGAAGTCCTCTAAGAATCAGGAGTACAGTTTAGAGGACATTCCAGCCCTGAGTAGAGTATCTGAACACACTGTTAGCATGGATAACAAGAAAGATCCCAATGATAAATCAGCTACAGCAGAGGAAATGAGAAACGTCTATGAACAGCAAAATGAGGAAGTTGAGGATGAAGAGTATAACCTGCTGGAGAAAGAAAGTTTGAACAGGTTCCCTGCTGAAGAGCGTGGGAGTGAGGACATTTCTCAGTCTGCCCATTGTATCTCAGACCCTTACTTCTCTATGAAAACTAGTAAGCATAAAACTGATTGCAAAATGAAGAAACGCTTTAGCTCTGTCTACCAAAAAGTGATAACAGATGAACAGACTGATAGAGAATTCTTGGATAACAGACAAAAAAACAGTGGACTTATTTTTTATAAAACGAGAATATCAGAAAGAATCTCTGACTCACCTATCACACGTTACACTGCAAACTATAAACCTGAAACGGATTGGACAAACTATTGTAAGAGAATAGAGACACTGAAACGAAATAAGCATCCTGTCAAAGAAGACCATGGTATGCCATCCCATTCAGCATCGCCTATCATCACAGTGTTTGATCACAAGGGAAACCGAATGACATACGAAAATTATCCCATCGTGAAACCTGGGCCGAGCGGACGTGTCAGGATGATTCGGAATTCCGGCAGTTACCTGCACAACTTTCAACAGAAGTGGGAGGAACTACACCTTGCAAGACCTGACATGACTCAAGATACCATGGACCTAGAGTATCTCATCTTCTCTGAGAAAATGAACCAGATTATCAAAAACAATCAGAAGACCAGCAGATCCACCCGCTATTCCTGGAGAAGGCAGGCCATGTCTGATGTTGATGTTACTTCTAAGAATTCTGCAGTGGGTATACATGTTTCAAAGGAGCTCCAGAACACACGGTTACCTCTAAGAAGGTGGAAGATGAAGGGGGACCGAACAAACAAGGCATGGTCACGAAAGCGGAAGGCTGTCTCCTCCATGCCCTGTGAACCACCATTGTCCTTGCGGAGATTGTCTCACCTGGACTGCAAGGGTGATTCACATCCCGCGGTCTCAGACATCACTGTTGAATGTGCCTCGTCGTACCACACAATATTGAATGACATCTGCTCAGGCAGAAAATTTCTGCAGCATACCAGCAAGCCCAAGGAGGACAGTGCTTTGCCACCATGTGATACAAGAGAACACATTTTTGAACAAATGCAAGAGGAGACCTTCAAGGATATGCAGGAAAAGATCAATGTTGCGGTCCGGCTGTCCTCCAAAACAAAATTCAAGTTCTACATCCTGGTGACTTCAGATGATTACTTCTTTGAACAGACAAAGGTGAATGTTCACATGCTTTATTTTTTAATAATGAAGGAGGTGAGGATTTCAGTAGTTGTGGCTTTTAAGGCATGGTGAACTCAAGCCACCATATATGGAAAGAGGAGGATGATAATTGAATCTTCTGATGGCAAATTTCTATATGTAAAATATACTTTATGCCTCCTGCTACTTTTGTGTTACTATTCTATAAGTGTAACATTGGAGAATGTTGTTTTTCCATAAATCTACATGTGTCTGTTGATGTGTCAGTGAAATTCATTATTCCTGGTCCTGCAGGAGCTCCTGGTTGCAGAAGGTCATGACTGCATTGAGCCAGAGGACTTTGACCTGGAGGGGCAGAAACCCACATCACCGCTTCTCATCATCATAAGGAATGAGGATATTGCTGAGCACATCTACACGGTAAGATGGGGGCTGACCATGAGGATATACAACTATATGGGAGAAGTTAAATGAAGGTCAGAGTCATTGCTGTGGCCATCAGTAGCAGAGCCAAATGTAGAACTGGTTAAACCATCTTGTGGTGTGCTACTCTCTCTTGGCCCGCTTGCGATTGCCCGCCCTACCCAACTCTGCGCTCACATTGCACTTACGCTGCGGGCCCGAGCACATTTTTGTCATCACCATGCAACTTTTTTGTATTGAAGAAAATATAGGAATGAAAGTGTTATTGCACAGCAGTGGAACTCATGATGAATGTCCTTCTGTGGCTTATTTGGAGTCATCTTGTTTTGGGCACAGTGACATGCGTAAATTTATCTAGTATGTAATACAGTGATTTTTATTCATTTGTGCTGCACATATAAGTTTTTGTGTGTTGCATGCAGTTGTTCTTGGGTACTAGTCAGCCCAAATTTCCAGCAAACGTGCACCTTCCATACACTAGTGTTGCACAGGATACTGGTACTGAAAAGGCACCTCAGTCCCACATTTCTGAAAGCTGTACCAGTACTAAAGAGATGTAACACCGAACTATTTACACTATTCCAGGCGTCACTAATGCTATATATCACTAACATTAACCATTGAATCGGGACCATGGGCTCAGTATTTCCAAGCCACTACTGAAACTCAGTTATACCCTATGTCAGAATTGCATGCATCGTGCTATATAGCCGTATATTAGGCAGTGGTGGCCTAATGGTTAGGGACGTACACTTGCAATTGAAAGATTGCTGGTTCAAATCCCCGACCAACAAGGCATCACTGAGGTACCCTGAGCAAGGTTCCTCCCCCCCCCCAAGCACTGCTCCCCGGGCGCTGAATTAGCTGCCCCCTGCTATGTCACAATGTCACATATGGGTTAAATGCAGAGGACAGATTTCGTTGTTGTGTGCTGTGGTGTGTCAACAATGATCACTGATTACCAAATTCCAAAATTCTAGTTACAGTGAACTAGCAAATTTGATTTATCTGCTCTAAGTGCTGTGCATAGAAGACTTGAGCTTAATAAAATGTCAGCTAGTTAAAAATTATCTACCTAGCTTTAAGTTAGTAATGTATGTAAGGAATCTTTTAATATAGCAAGATCTTATAGCAAATGGGTTACGTTAACATCATCGAACTAGCATCTGTACTTACTGGTTACTATGCTACACTATGTTTTAAGCCAGGGGTCTCCAACTCCGGTCCTAGTGAGCTATCGTCCAGTAGGTTTTCTATCATACCTGGCTTCTGATGAGCCACACCTGTTCTCAGGTAAATACCAGGAACAGGTGTGGCTAATCAGAAGCCGGGTATGATAGAAAACCTACTGGATAGTAGCTCTCCAGGACCGGAGTTGGAGACTTCTGTTTTAAGCAGTTAAACAATTATGCATAATGCGTAATCTTTATGGATGCTTATCTCACATTATCTGTTAGCTTTTTTTTTTTACAGTGGAAGTACGTTTTACAGTTTCGCGTGATTGTGTGTTGCCCCCCCCATTCATCAGTGCACCGCCCACTCAAAATTCATTAAACAAATCACATCCATACTGATCCCCTTGTACAGTAGCCCTCAATACTCTCCTTACATACTGGCAGAAATGTGCAACAAACGGGGGTGGATATATCCTTTATCACCAGAATGTATTACCACTCTCTTTGTAACTGAATGAATTAGAGAGATTATAATGCAGTGCTTGGCAATATTAGGCTATGTGCTGCAGTGGAGGGTGGCTTAATTTAATTTAAAATTAAAGGTGTAACAATTTAAATGCATTGGAGATAAATGTCTCCTGAAAATCAGTGTATAGTTTACCATGAACAATACAGAATTTTCTGCATTAGCATCATTGCAGTATGAGGTCATAATTTTGGTACAGTGACAACACTACCATAGACCAAAGCGATCCTTTTGTTGCCATGTTTGTGACAAATTTGTATTCATGATAGTTTTGCGGGGGGGGGGAAATGACGTGATCTGTACAGCCCACTCGATCTGTTCTATCTGGGTTTGGTTCAGATGTACATGTGCACAGGCATGGATCGGTTGCGCCAATGAAGTCATGACTGTGTTCCATGCTCAAGCACAGTTAGTGATCACACTAGCCTACTCGCCATGGTCAGGCCCACTTCTTCAAGCCGACCCAGGCACGGTAAGCCTGGTGCAGTGTAATCACACTAGTCCAACAAACTGGACTCTGGGAGCATCATACATACTCGGGCATGGTGCGGATCGGCTAGTATGAGCACCCCTTAACGCCTGGTTTGGGTTTCTTTGTCTGCTCTGTCAGCTTATCAGAGTTTATATTGTGAGCCAGTATTCACCAGTGTCACATCAAAGCACAAAGGAATTTGACAAGGGGCGGTGTCACCAATTTATTTCAGATTCCACAGCTGCTGGAGCTGAAGAGATCAGCCAGAGTGCTGTTTGCTGGGATTGACCGACCTGATGATGTCCTTCACCTCACGCACCAGGAGCTCTTCGGCAACGGGGGATTTGTGGTGTGCAACACGGATGTTCTGTGTTCCCTGACACTGGGTATGGACTTTGCCTGGAACTCGGACAAGGCCCAGACCGTTCGGTCCCGTTCTATGCAGTAAGGGAGAGTGAGTTATAAATATGACAATTCTGGTTTATTGGGTACATTTGCTTCAAAAAGTCAGGGCAGCACAGTGAGTATGCAGGTTTCCTCTGGGCGCTATGATTTTTCCAAGACACGCAGTTGGGCTAATCGCTAACTCTGAACCCTTAGTGTATGAGTGTGAGTGTGAGCGTGCACAGTAGATGCTCTGCGATGGACTTGTGTCCCATCCAGGGTGACCCCCAGCATTGTGTGGTCTAGCCCCCCCCCCCCCATCCTGATCACGATAAGTGGCTGGACTGTTGGAGGGGTAATGTTTCAAAAAGTACTTACTACAGATTTTTGGTGTTGATATTAACAGGTAACTGATATCAGAATTAACATGTTTATGTTGGCTATGATTGGTTGTGGCTGCAGTGGTTCATAGGCCGTGCATTAATCTGACCATGATGTGACTGCACTGTGTTGTCCTTGTGACCTTACGATGCCTGGTTGTCGGTGTGCTTTAAACCTCCATCAATCAGACAACATGAAGCGGCTGGTCCAGGCTTTGGAGGGGCTGAGCAGAAAGGGGAAGTGGCTGTGGTTCCTCCACTACCGGGACAGCCGCCTGCTGAAGGAGAATGCCAGGTACACGAGGTCGTTTGCTCTTTAACCTGTGTGAGGACCGCAAACAGCAAGACTTTCATTCAAAGGCACCGTCTCTGTCTGTAGGCTGAGTACAGAAGCCCGGGACAGGAAGCAGTTCCTTGAATCCTGCCAGGAGGCCGGCCTGGTCGAGACAGTTCCGTATCACGACTGTGACATCATGTCACGGGATCAACCCGATTATCTTCAGTGCATGATCCGACTACAGGCTCAGCATATCACAGCCCGGTTTGCCATCTTCATAACCGGTAAGGGTCATGGGATCTCCTTTTATTTTATCTCTCTTTCTCTCTCACACACATCAGTCAGTGGGCTAGCTCTTTCTTTTCCCTGTTTTATCACAATGAATATGAACTTTAGAGCTCACAAATTTCAGCTCTGCCATCTCAAAGTGGCACGTGTAAATGGTGCTGCGTTCCATTGTGAAATTCCAACTGTAATGCCCCCTGAAGTCGGAATTCTGACTCGTGAACTCCGAAGAATGTACCCCATCCCGACCTCAGAATTCAAGATGGCTGCACCCTTTATCAACAGAAGTGAAAGCTGTAGTTTTGCACCATTTATTAGCACGTACGTCTTATTTGTGGTTCATTAAATCAGTTGTACACATAGGATTATCCAACTGCTATCTGTGGACATATTACTACAGTATGTTTATGCACAAAATACATGTTTTTATCAAATGATACTGCTAACAATGGCTAGCAATTAACCAGGCTAGAACCAGGGACTGTTTCAGGAAGTAGGACTTCTTGCTCAGCTGGAAAACTTGTCAGATTTAAGGTAGTCTGGGTTAAATGTAAGTGAACAAAAGTTATCCGTAAGAAATCTTGCTTTTTGAAACGGGTATCTGGTATCGCTAAATGGCTTTCTGACTTGCTGTACTGGAATGCTATTAACTTGTGTGTGGCGTCATTCCCAGTTCTGAGTTCCGACCTCTGAGGTACATGGAACACATTAGCCTGTATGGGCCTCACTGCAGGAGTGCACCACCTAGTGGTGGAAGAATCCAGCTGGGTTGGGTGACCGCTCCACTTTTTTTCTCCTCTTTGCAGATGTACCAGATGATAATTTTGAGAACTACGGGATTTTTGCGATGGACATCGACACCTTTCTACGAATTTCTAGGAGAATCTCAACACTTGCAGAGTTTTGTGAATAGTTTTGCAGCAAGAATTTAATATTGGGTAGGCTGTCACAGGATGGCATACAGTCATGTCAATATGTACATATTTCAGACATATTTATCGCTTGGTGATGACCTCTTTCCTGATGGAAAAGTTAAAAAGGGTTATTTTTCCAATCTTTCTGGCACAACCACACCACCTGTCGGTGTGAATACAAATGACTTCTCATCAGCATTAAGCTCCTTGTGCGTAAAGCAGTTTAAAGTTGTATAATTCAGGGTTAGGTTCTGTGTGGATGGCAGAACAACATCAGCACATGATTTTGCTACTCCTCTGCAAGTTGTTCTATATATTTACAGATGTATTTGTTTTTGTATACTGCTTGTATGCCTCAGGACAGAGAAGGGGCCTCCACGTTCAACTTAGTGAAATACAAGAAGTCTTATTGTGACATTTCAGAGGTCTATTTTCTGGGTTGTCAGAAGTTAGTCTTTGTAGAACAGATCTGACTTTTGTAAATTTTTTTCCTAAACTAATAAAAGTGTTTTACAGTTAAGACCAGCAGTAAATACTGTACAGAGAACATAGCAAGGCTGACTTGAGGGAAACGTGATTAGCAAACTCAGACTCCAGTTGCCTACAGGCTAAAAAGGCTAAATGCAAAGAAACATTTTAACAGGCCAAGGTTTCCACCTATTACATTTGTCATTTATTTTCATATTAAGGGCTCATACAGGACTGACTGCAACAGTTTGGTCCTTGGTTGAAAGCTGCAGAAGCTGCTTGCCCAGCCAGCCCCCCCCCCCCTCTCCCCTGCTCCCACATCTACGAGCAGCTTCAGTGTTACTCTTCCATTTTATGGCCAGCACCTTCAGCACGGCTCTGGGCAGCAAAAACACGGAGGGCTAACAATTCTGCCTCATTTCTTCATAGTATTGGTGAAGCTCCCAAATAGATTTCCTCAAAATTACCCCCCCGCACCTTCATGTATACACCTGGCCACTTTTGTTTTGTACAGAATTTACCAAATGTAAAAATACTATTTATTAGTGCTGAATAATCCTCTTCATAACCATTTGGGTAAAACTAATCATTTTGGCATATTGACAGAACATTTTTTCCTGGGGGAAAAAAAATGGTTACATTATGCTGGAAAAGAAAGACTGGGCATTTACAACGGCAGCCCGATGCTTGTCAAAGTGTAATTACAAAAAGCAGCCCCCAGCCCAGATATAAAGAATACCAACATCCTCAGCTTTCATAATGGGCAAAACATATACGTGGATCATGAGCCAGCACTGTGTAAGATCGCGTTTTAGATATCTGCTAAATTGGGCGAGAGCTCAATTCCACTACTGGTCACCAGCGTCGCCAAAGATGTCGTTCTTCTTGCGTTCCATTTCGGCAAAGTCGAATTCTGTGCCCGTCATGCGCTTGTAGATGTCCTTGATGTCGTCACAGGTTGTCTCAAAGTGTGTGGTGGCATCATATGTACGGGAGATGAAGACCTACAAAATAAATTACATACATGTACAGTCGAACTTCGTTACAACGTACCTCGGGGGACATTAAGAATTTGTACGTTATAACCATAGTACGTTGTAACCAAGTCCCTCAAAATGAATGATAGAACACAAAATGTATATAAAAAAAACTTTTAGAAAACACCCCTCAAGTTGACACTGACATACAGCTTGTGTAGTTTGAAGAATATAATAGGAACTATATTCTTCAAACTAGGTTAATATCAGTTACTCAGACAGCCGACATAACGCAAAATCCACTGCCGGCTTATCGTTCAAATCGCCTTACTGTAACCTAATGTCAAACCGAAATTATGCACCTGTATATGATTCAATTGGCTGAAATAAATTTCGATACATGTTAGACATGTCTTTTGTTAATATCTTTCACTATATGTCACAATTACCCCAATAACCACACAGTTTCAGAACTTAGTTCGCGTCGGCAGTATAAGGCTGCCATGTATAATTCTGAATTATTTCCACCTTGTCGGTCAGCGAAATCCGTTTCCTTTTAGCAGGCATCTTGCTTGATATGTGGCAGCATGACACCATGCAAAACCATGAAAAAACAGGGGCTGCATGCAAGGAGTCCGGCCGGCGTGGAATGCTTCTTGAGGATAGGTTCATACAGTTAGGCGTTGCTAAGCGATGTAGATGGCCGGCAACAGCCGATTCTGAATTGTGCGCGCGCTCGGAAGATGAGGCTGTACGTTGTACCGATGGTCAGTTTGCCTATTTTCCTCTGAAAATCATACGTTATATCGAAGTTTACACTGTAAAGGTGTACGTTCTAAGCGATACCGGCAAATGGAATAATGCATTACGCGAATTCGGGACATCGAAATTTGAACGTTGTATTGGTGTAAACGTTATAAACGGGGTACGTTGTAACGAGGTTCGACTGTACTGCATAAAAACAAACACTGCTTACATTTTCCAAATACTAAGTCTCTCAGCAATGAAACCATACCCTCAATACAGCTGGATTAGCACTAATTAAATCTAGGATAGTCATTTCCTCTTCAGCACAACTAAGATTCATAATAATCCTCCAGGCAGTGTAACACTTGGGGACGAGCTCACCCTAACTGTTACTCACCTGGCTTTCTGCACCCATGTCAGTTGGCTTATACTGATCACTGATGCTCACAAACCTTCAGGGGGAGAAATAAAAAATGACATCACTCAAAGTAGGAGTGATCATGGCACAACTCAAAACATCCATGTATCTATTTTACAGACCACTGACGTATCATGTTGACAAGTCTAAGGAACTGGACTAACTCAAAGCTCACTCTAATGTGCAGAGACATACTTCTGCTCCACAGGCTCCAGAAGGTCCAGGGCTGGTTTGATCTCCTTCTCAGGATCTCCAGTCTCCACTGTGGTGCTGACTATGGCCACGTACTTTCCCTGTGCGGCCACGTTGTGAGCATAGGAGATCATGCACACGTAGATATCTGCAGACACACAGTGGATTCTCACAAAATGTTCCTATGGGTGGCAGCCATGTCATACAGATGCACTGCTTCTGCGAGATCACTTCCTCTTGGACCCACCATGCTTCCTGTTGACTTGGTTCTGGGGAATGATGATCTGGCAGGAGTTGGCATCGCTGGTATTCTTAATGGGGTGGTTCATGATGCAGATGACACGGATCACCTGACCCACCTTACTCACTTTGTCCATAATGTAGCTCGGGTCGCAAATCAGTTGCTTACAGCGAGCGATCTAGGTTGAAGAACGAGACGGTCATCAAAATATTTAAAAGGGTTAATGTGCTGGTCCTGCAGTAGTAATCACAGCTTGTTCCTCAAACCAATCATCACTGAAACCTAACAAATTGTGTGGTTTATTACAAGTTGCTAAAGTTTATGTAGCTCGGCTGCACACAAAGTCTACAAGAATCGTGCCTCTGTGTCAATGTCTAAATGTCATTATGGAATTATCCAGTACGTCATCCCGCCATGACTTCAGCTCTTTTGGCACAGGAAGCGGCTAGCTCACCTCGCCCTCAGACTTCACGCCCACAACCCGCCCATTCTCCATGACAATCTCCTCTATGGGCTTGTTCAACATGTAGGTCCCTCCATAAATGGCACTTAGTCTGTCGGGGGGAGGAACAAGGCAACTAGGGTCAGTCATAGGCTGTAGCCAGCACCCATAAATGCGAGTTGGAGAGGGTCGCACCTGGCAAAGCCCTGGGGCAGCTCCCCCAGGCCATAAAGTGGGTACAGGTATGGGCTCTTGCCGTATCTGGCCAGGGATTCACTGTACAGCTTGATCCTGTTTATTGTGTCTAGGCACGGCTGGTCCAGATAGCTTCACGGACAAAAAAAAAAAAGTGATAATGTTTAATGTCGTGAAAATGACAAATGAGATGGGTAATTAATTTTCAAAACATCACTCAAGACCTTGCAATAGATTGCATCTTATTTTCATTTATACATCTTCTACATACGTACACATAAAATTACACTCTTGGGCCAATTTACTGCAGGAAGAAACCAGGAGTCAGAGGACACCCATGTGACATGGAGGTGGGGTTCAAACCCACCCTGAAGTTGAGAGACAAGCATGCTACCCACTAAGCTGCTGTGTGGCTCATCATATACACATGCTATTCAGCAGACTCTTGTGCAAAGCAATGTACAAGTTTGGAAAGCTTGGAATGGATTAGGGGCATTGATGAAGGGCCCAAAGATGATATGCTGGCAAAAGGATTAAAACCCACATTCCACACATGGGCACAGATCTCCTCATCTACTGAGCTACACCTCTAACACTGAAGTGATTCTAGGCGGAGTTTGACTCTCAACACTGACACAAAAGATACTTGCGTGTTCATGTATTTTTTTGGGAAAGAATATTGAATTAATCATGCGGCAATGTCACTCACTCATCTGTCCTGTAGAGGGCCAGGGAATGGCCAGTGAAGTCAATGACATCCTGACCCAGGTCAAACTTCTTATAAACATCTCGCATGGTCATCTTCGCTGGGTCGACACCCTCCATTGTTTTGGGATCACTTTCATCGAAATTGGCAACAAACACCAAGAACTTCCTGAACCTCCGCTTCTCAAAGAGCCCCATCAGACCTGAAGACAGGACTCTATGGTGTCAGTCTCATAACTGTAACCATACAGTAACTCAGATAGTTTGGAAAAACTCAATTTCCCAGATCCCACTGCAAAACTCACTGGAGGCCAGTGCTTCCGCCTCGGTGGAGGGCACCTTGTAGATGCTACCCTTCTTATAGACAAAGCTGCCCTCGATGACCTTGAAGTCCAGGTACCGCGTCACCTGTGTTATCAGCAGCATTCGCACCAGCTGACCTGAAAAAAAAGGTGACGTGTCACTTTTCATTCCTCGGTTCCTGCACCAGTTAGTCTTCTCTCACGATTTGCCATGTTAGAAGAGACTCCATGGACAATTATAACAAAATAGGAAGTGGGGGGGGAAAATCATGAGTAACACATAGCTATTGTACCAGCAGCACTTCATATTGAGCACTTCAATTTAAGAACCACCATTGTAAATTCACGATTCAGGGGTTTCCAGGCTGACTAATCCTTACCATTAGCCATGAGAAACTTGGGGATGAGGTCCACGTTCCAGTCCCGACCCTTCCCCATGGATTCAGGGGGGCTTCCTGGGATACTGAAGCGCTTGTACAGCTAGGGGAATCCAATGCACAGACATTAGTAAACTTCAGACACATCAGACTACAAGCTTAGTCATCAGTTCAGTTCTTTTACAAACACCAAAACATACAATGTTAACAAGTGGATAAATTAAAAATTCCATTACTAATAACAGATTACTTCCATGACCGTAAGTACAGCCGGAACACTGCTACCTACTGAGCACTAATGTGGGATTGGCGTCCTTTATGTCTGACTTACATCCTCCAGCGGGGTGATGGAAGCACTCTCCGCACCGTAGTACGAGTTCCGGTCCATGTGCAGCACCTTCTTGCCCTTCACCGACATGATACCAGACAGGATGCATTCCTGCAACAGGGGACAGCGGAGCTTCAGAGAGAAGCTGCGCACAAGGCCATAACCCATCCTCCATAGAGGCACACATTTATAGCAAAAGGTCGAAGCGCCATCAATACCAAAAAACTGGATGCCTCACGCATTAGAGCCAGGTAATGAACGGGCTTTCGAGTAATGAGCAGCGTTTCCCTCTAGGGCATGACTGATTAATCACTACTTACATCCTGACACACTCCTGAAGGCAGCACTGCCCAAAGGTACAGCAAGCTTTGAATGAAGCTGGGAATATGCAGACCAAGGGATTTGGGATGGCTTTGATCTGACTACACAGGTACTAATTAAACTTCTAGTTTTCATAAGACTTCAGCAAATTTAAGATGACACTCCATGTAATAACATGCTTAAGTGTGTTCAGTCTTTCACGGGAGGCCAACTGTCTGCCTCCAAACTTGGCAGCCAACTGGATTTCCTCAAAACCGGCCCCAAAACAAGCAAATTAAAGGGATGGTGCACCAGCGGGATTCTACGGCTGAGACCCACATCACGGATTCTCAGAGTTAAAAGCCTGATGATCACATGTTCACGATCTGTGCAACCTCTGTGACACCACACAACTGAGGAGAAAGTCTTTCCTTAAACGGTCAGCTTTGCTGTGTGAAGAGCAGACTTGGGCTGGCACACTCCCAGAGCACATAGCCGATACTTAGTATGACAAACACACAGCAACGGCCATGTCACATGACTGCAGCACCCCTGAGTCACATGTTCTGGCTGCAGATGGTAGGTGGAGCATTAAGACTCAAGTTACAAGGGTCAAAATCCATCATGTGGAGTTTTTTCAGCCCTCCTGCCAGGAGAGGAGGTTATTGAACAAGAATGGGCTTCTACATAACATTCACGTTTGATTCCACGGAAAGGAGGAGGAGGGGAATCTGGGAACGTTTCAGCTGAAAGGGAGGTTTTCCTTGGGTACAGCATCTAGCTCCTTATTTAAATCATGGTTCATTTTCAGGATGGAATTTGAAGCTTGTTGTGGGCCAGTAGCAGATCATTCCAATTTACCAGAAAGCAGCAAACAGGAGATCGAAACCACAGAGTTCACACTCCTGGAGGTAAGGGAAGCAGCCTTGGAGATCAAGACTGTACGACTGAGGGAGCCACTAAATGTAAAGTAGTCCCTTAAATTGAAAACAGAACTGTAACTACCAAGCATTTAAGTATTACTTTAATGTTTAAGACACTGTAGCTAAGCGCACAAAGCTACAGCCTTAAAAGGCTGCCGGTTCAAGTCTGAGGACATCCTAGTTAACTGCTAGAGCAAGGACAATGACAACATCCAGCTATACGGAAGGACACGAAGCTGTAAGCTGCTTTGGATAAGTGTGTTAGCTTAGCCAGGCAACGTAAAGTCAAAGGAGCAGGCTGGTGAGGGGAGCTGAAACAGTCACTTCTCTCACTGTGGAGCCATAGTGTGAAATCAGGACACAATACATGTAACTACATACGTAAAAGCGTCTGAGGGAGACTTCCCCGTGACGCAGCATGCCTGGAGCGGCACCGAGATCAAAGAAATGTACATGGTTGTAGAACACTTGTACATACTGAAAGACTAAATACAAAACTGTTTTAATTTGAGCAATAAAAAAAATAAAACAATAAAAAAAAGACATTTCACAATGGGCTATGCAACCAAATACCTTCAATGCCAAACTGCAGAAGTTTCAATTCCTCATTTACTGCTAAGAAAAACTGACATGCCGGAATTAGAAAGGACTGCTGGTGCTGAAAGAGGTGATGGTCCACAACAAACAGCCCACTGCAAGATCAGCCATATTACAATGCACACAGATGGGATGTCAGATACCCCAACGAGTCACAGCACTGCGTTCAAAGGAAGCATGGCAGATAGGGGACTGGATAAACCTTGTTTTCAGCCGTGAACAGCAATGGGATGAAGGCATAACACACCAAACTCTACCTGCCTGACCATGTTAATGATTGCCTTTCACTCATAAGACAGGAATAAAGTTTATGAATTGCTGTTCAAATGTGTTAAATGTGGACTCTGGTCACAAGCTCCTTTACAGTTGCTTCCATCGCTACATAATGTAAATTTACCTAGATTCACAACTGCAAGACTGAATTAACGTCAACTAATAAGTCAGACTTCTGCACCCAAATGGATTTCAAACATGATATCTTCAGTTCATAAATCAGTACTCTACACTGCTTCTGAATTGTGGCAACATTACCACTACGTGACATCACATGATAAACAGAATCCTAATGAACCAAGCTCTCAAAAACACCAAAAACCAGTCAAACTAACTCAGTGGCTGCTAGCTTACACAGTGTTTTCCCATCCCAAAGCCAGTGTCACGCTTGAAGTTCAATCAGTTGTGTGGTCATGGCCAGAACCTTTGACATTTTTATAAACACTTTAATGTCTAGGCCGGTCAATGCCATCATAAACTATACATAACACTAAAAAGGAGGAGTATTTTTTTGTGTATTTCAGGTCTTTAAAGGGACCAAAAATAAACCAATGAATAAATCAAAACCGTTCACTCCCACCAACCCCCCAGCACTGATCAGCCACTCAGCAAATGAGAAACAGGGACACACTCAACTGGTTCCTACATGAAATGAGAGGCTGGAATCAGGCCCAAGGAAACGGCCAGGCTGACCACACGCATGGGGAAGCACCTGTGCTGGTCGCTTTGGGGAACCGAAAGCACATCCCTTCACTCCCACCATAACTTCAACCTAGCCAGTACCAGGTTTCATGGGGAGCCAAGCTGTCCATAGAAGAGAACCTACATGCATGCTGACAATGCCAGCATACCCAATAAATATTACTTAACTCCCACAATAATACAGTAATGCACTACTGAGTGCTCATCACGGTGAAATACCATCTTAATCTGCAAAATGCAATACCCTAAATCTGAATTGCGAAATCAGGCAGTATAAAGGGGTAACGGGAGCCTGCAGAAAACGGCAACTGCACACCGAATTACCTATTCAATGTATGCGATCACACGGAAACGGAGAGCTGCTGTGTCGATGTGCACTGCAACTTCCTCAAGATGGAAATCCGGATGCACCTTCCTGTAAGGGGGAGCAGGAAAAACCACAGTCCTGCAGCCGGTCGATCGGCGCTTACTGGCAGAGCTGGTAGCTCCAGTGCAGCTCACAGTACAATTACGTGGGTTAGGGGGTCGTTAACCAGTGATGTTCTGGTTGCTGGTAACTAATGTTTTGGTTGCGTGCACGGATGCAGCGGAACTGGAGAGTGGGCGGCCGACCCTTTGTTAAAACCAAAGGGACTAAAACAGAATCGCTTGGTCATTAAAACACACAAAGCTTGGTTGAATTCCTGTGTGCGTTAAAAATGTCGTTTTTACCAGTGTTTAAGCTGCCGGAGCTTTTAACGCCCTTTCGGCCGGAGCAGTTTGACAAGCGTAGAGAAAGGCGTCCCCGCCCAAGGGACGGCCCGCTCGGCCACCCGGCAACCATCTCGGATACGGGCCTCGAATGGCGCTTCCTCCGAATGTAGGTCAACAAAAAGCATTTTAGAAACTGTATTGACACAACGGAAACTTTACCTCAGCACTAATGTCAGCAGAGAAAGCGACCCGGTTAACGCTATTTGTTGCTGTTGTTGTAGCAGGGATGCAGATGTAGAAGAACTCCGTATAAAATATAAAGTTTCCTGTAACCAAATCGAAGTGAAACGTAGCTGTGCTGACGAAAGCTTTCAGGTGAACGGCGAAGGGCCGCAGATTTTAATCTTTATGAAGACACACCCGCCACCGAGAGCTGCCTGCTAGCGTCGAGGCCTGGCTAATATCAGCATGCTAGTCACGCATACCCGCGGCTCCGGTAACGAAGGGGCCTCGCTTGCTAACGTTAGCATGCTAATAACGCATATCTACGGTTCCGCTGACTGGTGGCCTCGCTTGCTAACGTTAGCATGCTGCTGACGACGGGCCTCGCTTGCTAACGCTAGCATGCTAGTAAGGCTCGGTTTTAGCGCTGAGCAGCTCCTTTGTACCCACAAACGCCCAGTCTTCGATTCGGCGAGTGGCGCTTCAGTTTGCCCTCACCGTGAGTCCGGTCCCCAGCACGATGACATCGTATTCTTCATTCATTTTTTCTGCAGTTGATGTTTTCTCTTCTTGCCTACAGTTACCGCTCGGGAGCAAGAAAATGGAGAACAGTGACTCAAAGCAAAAGAGGCTGCGGTCCAACGTCAGTCAGTTCCGGCCCGGCGGTAGGGGAGGAGCCAGCGCGGGGAGTTAAATGGTCGTGGCGGGCTGACGGAGGCGGGCGTCTCTCTGTGTATATAAGGGCGTTTTTTTTAAGGCCACATTTGCTCGTACGATTTCATAATCTGCGAAAAAAACCCACAAATGCTGAAATATCACAAAAATTCAGGGCTGCTTCTCCGGATTTAAACAAATATCTTTAAATATTTGGGAAGCACAGGGGTCACTCAGGCCATAGTTTGTAATTCACTGAGTGCATAAAATGAGTAATTCCGTATTCAGTGTACGTATTGCATAATGTTTGTCAGTATTAGCATTGCAGTTCCAGTCATTACCCGACAGTAAGCAGAATGGTTGTATTAGACAGCAAATTGCTTAGAGTGAAAGTGTCATCTTACAGAGAAACAAACCTTTGTCATATAATCCGAGTTAAGTGTTAAGAAGCGAAAACGTGTCCTCAGATTACCGGACCGAGTAACACGGTAACATATCTTCCAGGGAACAGGGTGCTGAGATCAGCAAGGCATCACGAAAAAGCAATATATTTTATGTTATTATAAAGCAGTAGGCATAGTATTAAAAGAACATGTTTCTGTGTAGTGCATACTGGAAAAGCAGGCGTCTTTTTCCAACTTGATTCTCTTGCTGTTATCTGAGTAACTTTTTGATATTAGGTTATACTGGTGTTTCGCGTAGCTCTTGTCCCAATAACATATGCCTCAGTTACTAGTCACTTAAGCTAATTGACAGCTGTTTGTTTCTCATTTACTTTTTTTAACTTGTACATCATTGTACAAAAAAAACATATGCTAATTAAATCTTAGTCTGGACAATTCACTTTTTGCTAAACTTAATTCAGAGAGCTCTTCATGTGAGAAACCAGTCTGTGAAAATTAGTTAGTGGGATTCACTGAATGCTATCAATCACTTACTGGCTTAGACCAATGAGAGCCTGTGATGTAATGCAAAGTCATTGACTGATGGTGCACAATGTTTGGAATTGTCTTTTAATCAGCTTTTGGTACATCACATTCAGTGAAGATGCAGTGCACATCTGGCTTCCTGGCCAGCTGCCTGGCCTCGGTCCCTGAGGCGTCTGGGGTATCCTGGAGCCCCAGCTCCAGCAGGGTGCGCACTGTGGAGGCGTGCTGTCCCGCACAAGCCATGTGAAGTGCTGGGAGGGGCAGAGAGAGCAGAGTACTGACCTGGCGATATCACCTGGGAGCTCCACCGGAGGGTTAGGGTGTGAGTTCTAATCTCCAAAAATACAACTGTGTGCTGCTTTTTCTTTGACAACCACCAATCCCAGTTTAGGATTTAGGAACAAAACTAGAACCGTAACATCCTCTTGATCTGATCAACTGAATAAAAAATCCGTTGAACTGCACACTATTTGCAAATATTTATTAAAATAGAGCAGGGGTCTCCAACTCCAGTCCTGGAGAGCTATGATCCAGTAGTTTTCTATCCTACCTTGCTTCTGATGAGTGACACCTGTTCCTGGTATTTACCCAAAAACATGTGTGGCTCATCAGATGCCAGGTTGGATAGAAAACCTACTGGATAGTAGCTCTCCAGGACCGGAGACCTCTGAAATAGAGGAAAGCATTAGCAGAAATACATAGTCTAAAATAATAAAAAACTACTAATTGAACAGTACAATATATAAGCTAATCAGTCCTTATTGTAATTCTGCAAGCGCATTTAAGACTTACCTGTTCGTCCTTTTATGTCCTTTGCTTGAAGATCAGCCCCTAATTCAAACAAGGTTCTTACTGTATTACTGTGACCTTCCTAAAAAAAATAATGAAATCCCGTCAGTCCATAGACACCTCCAGGTAACCTCTAGGCCTTAAATGATGATGGACTGTACCAAATCTTGGACAGAACTTAAAAACAGGGGGGTTACTCCATGCCCAAATTTAGGAGGCGCTCATTTACCGATCTTTCACTAACTGCAAATAATGGCTGATTCTGGAGTGCACAGCGAATTATAAACGATGAAGAAGGAACCGTAAGGGGAAGCAGGGATATGCAAACCTTGGCAGCATAATGAAGGGCAGTCAGGCCTATGTCGGTGGCTCGAGCATTTACGTCCACACCAAGGTCTTGCATCAGGAAACGCAGCGCCCCCTCCTGGGCTGTTACGGAGGCGTGATGCAGGGGCTGTGCTCCCATGCAGTCTGCCGCTGATGGAGATGCCTGCAGCAAGCACACATGCGTAGCATTTTACATGGTGGATAATGTCACACATCACTGAGAGTTTAATGCAGTGATTGATATTTTTGCACTGATTTCTCTGATGCGGATTGAAGGCTGGGCCAGCAAGGTGACATCGACATACCTGGTGCTTATCCAGCAGCAGCTTAGCGATACCAATGTGTCCGTTCCTCAGAGCATCCGTGAACGGCGTGATCCCACAGCTGTCCCTGCTGTCAGGTCTGTAGCTGCACCTGAGACAGCCAGACAACTTTAGAGTCACACTAAGCAGGACCCATACAAGCAGGCCGGCAGTAAGCCATGCCATGTCTCTCTGTGTGATTCCTCCTTATCTGCCTGAAATTCTGATACAGCTGTCCTTCCCTTTGCTCACATGTCAGAATGGCTCATATAGTGAAGTACCCCATGCTTCTTTAGACGGATTCCATAAATCCAGATTCCATCCATCATTGTGTAAACAGGGATCAACAAAGTATATCTATATTTCCATCTATCTGTGACCAAGGCAGAGGACTTGAAGTGTCTGTCCTCGGAAGCTGGCATCAAATGCCGGTGGTGAATTCCTGTAGTTAGAAATCCTCCAACCTTGTGCTTTGTATGTAGTGATTAGGGTAAAACTATGTTGGTACAGAACAGTCAGATATTTCCTTCAAGGTGTTATACAAATAGCAAGGCTTTTGTGATGCTGTGGGTTAGAAGTACATGCTGCACAAACACAATAGATTGTGTGTATCTACAAGGTCTTGTTTATGCAAAGCTCAACAAACTGTTTCTGTCTGTTTTGATTTGGAGAACATAAACCTTTTTAAAATTCTGATTTCCTTTATTTGAAAGACAATCAGACACGCATAAATCCAAGAGGAAATCTTAAAGTGTGAATCTTTATGTGCGGCTTAAGACAAAGACCAAACTCTTGCTACGCTGTTTTGAGTATTTTAGTTCAGATATGTACTGATGAGAAAAAACATTATGACCATCCCCATGTGAAGCGAATAATGTTATCTAGTCATAACACACAGGGCATCGAACCCTGCTGCGTTATGGAGCTACCTAGCCACAGGCTATTCAGAGTACCAATGCTGTCCCCTGTCCACCGTGGAAAGAGCCTACAATGGGCACACAAGTGTTGGAACTGGATCTTGGAGCAAGGGAAAAAGGTCAGCTGGTCTGAAGAATCTCGTTTTCTGCCAGGTACGTCAGGCATCTATGGGATACGCTGGACTGACAAGTCCGATCCATTTCTATGAAGCCCCATACGCAGCACGACACATCACTCCCACAATCAACATCGATGATGTCATTTGTGTCATAATAGCCCTGTTGTGGGATTGTACCACATAGGATAGCCATCGTTCACATCTCACATAGATGAGTCTTGGCTGCCCAACACCCTGTCATCGGTCCATGGTCTTTCTCTCCTCGGACAACTCTCAGTAGGTCCTCACCGCCTTGAGTACCCCACAAGCCTTGCCATTTCAGAGATGCTCTGACCCAGTCTTCTGCCAAAATGATTTGGCTCTTGTCAAAGTCACTCAGATCTTTATCACTGCCCATTTCTTCATGTCGTCTACGAGGACCAAATGTTAGCTTACCGTCTAATATATCCCAGACCATGACACGCGCTGTTTTTACGAGATAATCAACATTATTTGCTTCGTAATGGGTGTGGTCATAACGTTTTGGCTCATTGGTGTATAATCACAGGACCTTTGGGGGTGTTCTATGTCTGAAGTAGACTGAGGGGTTCCTGTTTTCTGTAAATTCTTAGACGTGTTTTTTTTTTTCTTTCTATGACTGAGGAGTTAGCTAATTAAGTCAATAAGTTAATTACTGCCGAAAGCTCAAACCTATTTAAAAAATAGATTTAGAAGAAACTAGAGAAAGGGCACACTTACTTTTCAAGGAGAACACTCACAACTTCTTCGCAGCCATGCATAGCTGAAATCGAACGTGACTGTTATACAAAGGTGATTTTGAACTATTACAAACTGCAAGTTTCCAGTTTAGTCATTATACTAAGAAGATGAACAGAACTATTTTACTCAGTGGAGTCCTCACCTGCCGTGTGCAGTGGAGATCGGAGGGTGGTGCTTTCTGTGTCCCAGACTTCTGGGCTGGCCTCTAATAGGCAGTGTACCACAGACGGATCACCCTCTCTGCAGGCGATGTGGAAGCAATTCCAGCCGTCTTTGTTCTTGAGTGCTGGGTCTGCCCAGTGCTCGATTAGCTGCCTGATGACTTCCAGATCTCTCCGGGTGCAGGCCATCATAAGAGGGGTCCTGGAGTCACACAAGACTAGTATTAATCACCCCACAGTACAAGCTGGGCAGTACTTTCCCAGATATACATTTGGGGCCAGTTTCACACAGCAAGATAAGCCACCTAGCATGTAGATACTACTTAGTAATACAGTAAGAAATTGAGAGAGAGAAAATTCTGTAAATTGTCATAAATCAGCATAAAACGTATGTGAGTATAAATTACAACCCTACACCGTTACTATATTTAAATATATCCTTTTAGACAAAGGATGTCCACAACCTATTTTGACTATAATCTTCCAAAACACCTTATGTACTATGTAGAGTACCTGTAGTACTAGTATCAACACTCAGTGGAATAAACATTTCATTTAAATACCAAAACGTTTTAGTATGAACTACCCAGTTTCAGCGGCGACAGGCAACAAACGCCTTCAAAATATAGATGTGGAAAAGTTCGTTCCTTCGAGCCGGATTCGAACCAGCGACCTAAGGATGACGGTGTTTTCCTCTACAGTCCTCCGCTCTACCAACTGAGCTATCGAAGGACACACATTCCATTCCTTCGTTCTACGGAGGATAGTATACATGGAAATTCAATCGAAAGAAAAAATAATGATCGATGTGAATTACAAAGCAAACATTTCTACGCAAATCTTGAAACACCAGAATACAATTCAACTTTAACTTAAAAAAAATTACGTCCTTCGAGCCGGATTCGAACCAGCGACCTAAGGATATCAACTCGTATTTCACTACAGTCCTCCGCTCTACCAACTGAGCTATCGAAGGAGATACACGTCACAATTTTACTACTACTATCCAATTATACTAAAAGTACTATCTGCTATTAAGAACCACTATTGCCTTACCAATCAGACTTTTTTAAGCAGTCTACTTTGGCTCCCCTGGCCAAAAGGTAATGCACACAGTCTCCTCGGCCCATGGATGCGGCTTCGTGCAGTGCCCTCTTGTAATCGCTGTTGCACAGCTCGACGTCCATGCCCACGTCCTGCACCAGGAAGGCGAGGACGTCCAGGGCGCCATGCCGGGCAGCGTAGTGCAGCAGCGTGTCCCCGGAGCGCGGCAGGCGCGCGACGCCGATCCAGCTCCGAAGGTCGTTGTTGTCATAAAGCGCGTGTTCTATGTCTCGCAGGCGGCCGTCCCGCGCCAGCCCCACCAAGCGCTTCAGCACGGCCTCGTCGGCCATGTCAGTAAAACTTGGGTATGTGCTAAACTTAGACCAGTATATTGTTAGAAAACAAACACAGAAAAAAATCAGGGGGTTAGCTAATTAACAACGTCTTTTAAAGAACAAAAAGTTATTACATTTTTATTACATTACTTTTTATCTAAATATCTTGCTAAATTGTAATAGGGCATTTAAGATTTAACTGCAACTTTCAGTATGTCCGAATACTCCGCATATACGGCTATTATTCCGTAGCTGACAGGAAGGCCCTGCAACGGGTGGAGAAAATCACCGGCATCCCGTTGCTGAACATCGCTGCCCTGCAGCATACAGGGTGTCTGCGACATGGTGTCTTACATGAAGGAGGCGCTACAGGAGCCTCAGTCCCGCACCAGCAATCTCAGGAACAGTTTCTTGCACCACACCATCACCATTCTGAACTTTAAAACCTTACCACTCAATAACTGAACTTTCAAAATATCAATACCCTTTGACTGCACTTTATGTATATATTTCACCTGTTTACATATATCTATTCTGTACATAAAATAGTTCATATATCTGGATTTATCCATATCTGACTTATCTATTCAAACGCATCCGTATTCATATCTATATACTCCTCCTTGAGTATACAAATTCCATTAATAATTAGTGATTCCATTATTATATGTATTTCATTATGAATATATTCTCATTTGCTGCCTTATTGCACCTTACTCTACTATGTGCACTTTCTGGTTAGACACTAAAGTGCATTTCATTGTACTGGTACAATGACAATAAAGTATAGACTAAAATAATCTAATATACAGTGGCGAACGATACCCGGATGACCTACTGCAACCAGTGGACGCCATGCTATCCCACAAGGCCACAGGAGCTGTACCAAAGATGGCAGAGGAAGTACCGAATGTGTACAAATGTAAGTATAAGACAATAAACTGGAATACGCATTTTCAACAGTTTTTAACTTTCGTGGAGGTGAACGTATGTCATTAGTAAATATCCAGGTCAGGTAATATGCAGGATATTAAGTACTGTATTCGAATTCAGTCGCAACCCTTATGTTTACAACTTTATGGCCGTCGGGAAAAATTAAGTTGGCCAACCAAAGCTCAACCATGGATTTCAGCGACGTATATAATTAAATTTACGGACTTTTCAGCAAAAACCAATTTAATGATTAGTATGATTTTTTAAATTAAATACATGATTGTGCGAAAAGCATTGAATGTATATTAGAGTGCATGCGCGGGATTCCTGTTGCTTGTGTAAAATTAAACTCTGTGATAAATGTCGTCGCCCCGACATTAATACACAAAAATATATATTGTGTTTTGTATTTATACATGGCAGGGCTGGGGACAGTTTAATACATCACTAATGTATATTGAGCAATTAACAAATGAGACTGAAATAAACATAAGGCAAGTTAGTTACCGTTTACGAGGGAAAACAACTTTTTGGAAAAAAAAACAGCTATAAGTAGATATGATTTTAGGTTAACTTTCACTCATCGGAGGCACCCAAGCAATTGTGTTTAATCTCCTTTAATAAATTATATTAAACGCAGCATATTTTATGTATAGTATTTTAATAACGATGTTTTCCGTGTGCAAGTTGTCATACTTAAATTTTATCTTTGACTTTCGTTCTTTCGCTTGACCACTATAAGGCATTTCGGGAAAAACCGTATGTTTGCCGTTATAGAAACGACGGTTCAGCATAATTTCCGGGATTTTGTTAAATATTTGCGTCTTTCTTACCTTACAGGAGAGTCCAGATGCTGTCTTCTCGCAGTATTTTAAACAACAATGGAATCGGCAATGAGAGGTGAAGTGTATATGGTACAACGAGTATTGAACATTCAAAAATATAGTGCTGCAGCTAAATATATGGCATTTTAATGCTACTGTACCAGAGACCAATGTTTTGTCTCCAATGATATGAATAAAGGACAAAAAAACAATGTTACTTGAAACTCTCAAAAATAAGACATTTTATATTTATTACAATTATTCTGCATTGGTGCAAAACATTACAGGTGGTACACGCCTAAGCCTCATTCATGTTTATTGTGTTAAACAAAGACACATTTTTAAAAGCTCCTTTGAAAGTGTTTTATCTGGTGGCTCACAAGGACTGGAGCAGTAGTTCTTAATCCTGTTCCTGGAGCCCGCCCACCAGAATGTTTTCATTCCAACCCACACTGCTTTCAACCTGCCACATTCATCATTAGCCTATTAAGGAGCATACAAGCCTGATTAAGTAAGGGTGGGAAAATTCTGGTAGGGGGAGCACCAGGAACAGGACTGAGAACCATTGGACTAGAGTAGTCCATACTTAGCATGTGGGATCCACAAAGCAAGGCCAAGGTTGAAGCCTGCTTTGGGATGCTAGTGTGCCTCCCTGTGTATGTGTGTGTGTGTGCAGGGCGGGCAAAGCGGAGGCACCTGAATGCCAGCGAGTGTGCTGAATTGGGCGACAGCATGGATGGCAGTCTCCCCCTGACCCAGCCCAGCTCTGTACCACGCAACCAAGCACACTGCAGTCGCGGGCTGTACCCGCAATCCCCCACCAAGAGGGGCAGAAGAGGTACAGTGGACTCACCATGGGCAGGATTGATTTTTACACAGACTGTATATTTCTGATCTCATACTACTTAATATAGATAAAGAAATAAAGAAAACTTTACATATAGATAACACATTGAGTGTAATGCAGGCTTCCTAGTTTACGAGTCACCTGTGTTTACTTGGCTGTTCGTTCATTCCACTTTGGGCTCTAAGCTTCATATAGACAGTGGCTGTGTATGAAGCTTTATGTTCGAATGTGCGAGATATGGGGCCACCCAGAGGGGGGTCCTGAGTGGCATTAGGGTCATCGTGATGCTCAAACACAGCTGACGACGACTCCTCTCTCTCCCTTTGGCTGAAACGCAGAAGCCGTACAGCAGGGCATCAGGACGTTCTTCCCTGTGAAAGGCGTCGTCACAGTCAGCCCCAAAAAGGCCACCGCGGTTGTTGTGAAGAAGGAAGAGGAGACCGACTGGGATGATTGCATCCCGGATGAAGTGCTGCAAGGCCTCTCAGAGGACGAGTTGCTGCAGGGGTTCCCGGGGGGTGCACAGGCCGGGGAGCCCGAGGTGGCAGCTGGCTGCGGCAGCCAAGGCTATCCTGCAGCTCTGCACAGTGCCAGCCATGTGAAGCTGGAAGTGGAGGATGGTGTGGAGCCGTTGCCTGATGCCCACTATGGGCTCCTGGGGAGCACTCGTGATTGGGCAGAACCTCATGGTAGCCTAGGCGACCTGCCAGAGGAAGTCCTAAGGATGGTGCTGGTGCATCTGTCTGCAGAGGACCTGTACTGTTCCGCCTGCCTGGTGTGCCGCCGCTGGAGGGACGTGGTCAGAGACCCGATGGTGAGACAGACGTCGCCCCCTACTGGGCTGGGGCTCTGGAAGGAGCTTTGCATCTTGTCAGTGTTCACCAAGGCTCCCTTTCACTCTAGTTTGTGCCCTGGAAGAAGATGTACTTCCGCTTCAGAATGAAGGAGAGCCAGGCTGTGGAAGAGATCACTGCCATCCTGAGGGACAATGACATCACTCCCAGGAATGACTTGTGCGTGCTTAACATGGTGAGGTGAGTGAGTATGGCGGCCGGGGGGTGTGTGTGAGATGCCTGAGGGGTGGGTCTGGTCTCAGTCTTCTTCCTGTGGCTCCGCCCACAGGTGTACGCCTCACTTCCTGCGTGGTGTCAGGGTCTGCCCAGAGGAGGTACTACGCTGTGTGCAGCAACACCAGCTGTTCGCCCAGGCAGAGGCCTGCTTGAGGCACAGGTTCCCTGGGATGGAGCAAGTGGATGGGGTACGTGCTCAAGGTTGGAGGAGTCAGAGGTGTCAGGGGCTTGTGGATGAGGGACGGCTGGACTCAGAAGGTTTATGGCAGGGTTCTTCAACTCTGGACCTCGATTCCAAATCCAAGCCGTGTTTTCAGTTCTCCCAGGTAGTTGTTTAATAATTACTGATTCTGATTGGTCAGAGGCTTCACACCTGACTGACAGGTAAAGGAAGGCTGGAAAACCAGCAGGGCTCGGACCTCGAGGACCGTGAGTTGAATAACACTGGTTTAGGGCATGGGCCTCAAAGTCAAATGACCTCAGGCCAGGAGGTCTTCAGCCCAAGCGGGCCACTTGATTAAAAGTAAAATACTGTGTAACGGGGATCGATACTGACGGAAAGGCGTTACATCATTTTTTTGTCCTCTATACAAAATGAGCAATCAATTTGCAGGTCAGATTTAATAATCAATTTAAAATTGAGTGGCAGTCAGATACTTAGAGGTTTAGGGTGTAGAACAGGGACCAGCCAAAGTGATGGTTTTACCAGATCTGTGCCAGTTCTAATAAGATGTGGTAAAAGTCAAAGTGCTCATTCATAAACAGTAATATTAATAAAGTTTGTAAGTTGATGATGGTAATAATGATGATGATGGTCAGTTTCCGGCTTCTCTTCGGCTCTTGCTCGCCGTCAGGGTCCGAACCCGTGGGCCGCCTTGGCGCTGATGCTCATCCTGGCCGAGAGCGTGATGGATATGCTGGACCTGGCGGCCCAGGTGGACCGGTCCGGGTGCCTGCCGTTCCCCGGGGGTGTCTCAGAGTTCCTCTGGTACACGGCCACCCTGCTGCTGGCCATGAGGGAGACTGGAATCCGTATTAGCAACAGGTGAGCCGGTGGGGTGGAGAAGGACCCAAGGCATTGTGGGGTGTAGGAGACGGAGGTAGGCGGGGTCTTTGCGTAAGGTTAAGTTTCCTCTGATCAGCCGCGCGGCGACTTGAAAAGTTTTGTAAGACCGTCGCCTATATGGGGGATGTAGCGCGTTGGCCGATAAGGCTATACGTTAAAGCTTATTGTAAGTGTAACCTGTGGGACTATTGGTTGTTTTTTTTTTCCCCAATCTGAAGACCCAGGATTTATCCCTCAGTATGGGAGAGTCTGTTGGACCTTTTACTCTGTATGTATTTTGATTTGCGGTAGTGCAGTATTCAACTCTGTGTCCAAATAATTCCATTCTTTTCAACCACCAGGTGGCACTACAACATTTTCTATGTCCTGCACCTGATGGAGAACAGCTCGGCACCTGCAACCCTGGGTGAATCGTGGACAGAGGAGAGTGGGTCAGTCTTCAGCGACGCCCCTCAGCCCAACACAAAATAGAACAGAATCATTTTACTGTGATGTACAGACATGGACAAATGTATTGGTACCCTTCCACAAACAAAGAACCCAGAGTTGTTTCTGAAATAACTTGAAATTGAGAAAAGAAAATCGGCACCTATCATTATTTACTCCATATTTAATAAAAATCAGACTTTGCTTTAGACTTTTGATTCAACAGAATATTTTAAATAATAACACAACTGAATGCCACTGACAAAAATGATGGGACCTAATATTTTGTTGCACAACCTGTACAGGCACTCACTGCTAGCAGGTGATTCCTGTATCTCTGAGACTTCTGCACTTGCCAGCACGAAGTCTGGCCCATAGATGTTCGACAGGATTCAGATCAGGGATCCTAGAAGGCCACTTCAGAATACCCCAGTGTTTCATTATTAGTTGTTCCTGGCTGCTTTTAGATCTGTGTTTTGGCTCATCATTCTGTTGAAGCATCCGTGACCTGCTTCTGAGACACAGCTTTCTGACACTGGGCAGTTATGTATTTTTGTAGAATAAGCAATAATTTGTCTCTTCACACTTGCTTTGCTTTACTTGATGACATATCAAAGGCATTCAGGTATACATCACACAATTGCTTTTAGATTAATCACCTTTCAGGAGGCATAAAGCACTTTTCCAATGAGCTGTAAAGGTGCCAACAAATTTATCCATGTCTGTAACTGGGTTGGTTAAAATCTGGTATCTGGTACATTTCTGCTGCCTGTTACATGGAACAATGCCTTATATGGCCATGTATTAAGATTACTGAACTCCCCTAGAAATTTGCCAGACCCCATGCATTTCATTAGCAACTACGGCTACATGTGCAGCATTGGGCCAGACACTCGACTAATTAGGGATAATTAGGACTTCGTGGGTGCTTACATCTGAATGTAGCTGTCCTGTGTAAGATAGTTGGGTGAGAGCAACCAAGGTTGAGGCCACGAGGAAACCCGCTTTGCCAGTCCTGCCTGAAAGGCGTCAGCGCAGATGGAACTGAGACTTACGGAATGATGAAATTATCTTTCATACATGAGCTGCCTGGACCCACCCATATACTTACAAATCACAGGCTCATGCAAATGGGGTTGAGCAACTTTGTGGAGTCGGGGAGGTTTGTGCAAACTAGTCATTTAACTGCACAGCTGTGTAATATATTGCTAAATGATAAACAGTCTTCACTGGCCCCAACTGCATACTTGGCTGTATTACCACCCTCACCCCAGCATAAACCCTCCCATGAAATCCTGCTCTCGTGAGACCTTCCGGCCAACGAACGAACAGCAGCGGATCCTGAGCCACCCAATCCAGGCAGATCACGTCGTGAAGGTCATGGCTTTTGCAGGTGAGGCCCCAGCACAAGCCCTGCATGTCTGCCTCCTTGCCTGCTTTAACCTGACCCTCCTCCAGAAGCCTGCGCTGCCAAAACAGTTTAAACGGAGTGTTTGCCCATAAGGAATGTTTCCTAACCTGCACTGAGAGCTGCATTGGCGTAAGGCGGTTTATGGGCGTGTCGCTGCGCGACAGGACGTGGGCAACAGTGCTGGCGTACCGCACCATTAAAAAGCAGCCACATAATGAACACTTTACTAATCCCCGTGGGGAAATTCTTTTTACGCGTCCCTCAACTTGCTCTTGTAACTTGCAACTTGCTCTTTGTAGAGCAAGCTTGAGATAAAGATAAAATTTGGTCACTTAGGCTCTGTTTTATCTCATGGCAAAAAATCTTAGTTCAACTATGCTTTGAAGAAAACCCTGTCATTTACCCGTACGTGGACAGTCAAAAAGCTTTGAACTGCCTTTTCTTGGTGTCATTACCAGAATAGTTATTGTGTTTTACCTTTGTAGGGCAGAGTAGTCTTATTAGGTTCTTGCTTTGTTTGGAAAATGCCGTGTAGCTCTTCTTCCAACACAGTTTCCTCTTGTGCCTTGGCATTCATTGGATCTTAGCCCATTCGACTGCTTTGTAGGTGAATGTGTGTAATGTGCTGTTTGCCCACTAGATATATGTAAATGAAGCAGCAAATGAAACGTATAACACACGCCCCACTCCTCTACGTGCTGTAGCTCACCTGAGATCTGGTGGGAAGTGTTTTTCAGCAGTACGATGAAGGGATGTAAGGAGTGCAGATTCCAAGGGTTGGGGGGGGGATGATGTCGGATGAGCAAAGCGGGGGAATTTAGCCTTGATGGCACTGGAGGATTTTGCCCTTCATGTGCTGGGTAATACATCAGTGTGGGACCCCTGTTGGCCACACTCAGTCACTACACTAAATATTAAATAAATGTTACTCATTTAGGAAATGCTGAACAGCATGCTCTACTGACTAGATGGGTTTCACACCACACCCATACACACAGATGCATACAAACTGAAGCCCTGTTGCCTGTACAGTGTGTTTATCTACAGCCTAACCAAGGATTTTTGAGCATGCTGTTCTAATTAGTGTTTACGAATGTCTCACACATGTGTCTGCGTCATGCTCTCTGATCCCACTGCGATTTGCCTGCACATCTACTTATTAGATGCCCAGTACTCCTCCCTCTCCCCCCCCACAGGCACTGGGAAGACGTCCACACTGGTGCAGTTCGCCTGGCAGAGGCCACATCTACGCTTCCTCTATGTGGCGTTCAATCGCTCAGTGGCAGCCGAGGCCCGGCGTGCTTTCCCCAAGAATGTCGACTGCAAGACAGTGCACTGCATGGCCTTCCGTGCCGTTGGCACCAGGTCTGTGCCCCCTGCCCCCCTACCCTTAAACCCCACCCCTGTCACATGCCTGCTCACCAGTAACAAGGTTGTTTTGCTTTTACCTTGCCAGTAAAAGTCAGTGACCTAGTTTTCTTAAGTTCTTGTCAGTGTAGCTGTGTCTGATTATTGCATTGGTCAGTTTGTTTACTTAGAGCACTCTCAAGGCATGCATTGGATAATCACAACTCTCTATTAGGGTCTGCACAACTTAAGATTTTTTAAAGTCGGCAGTTTATCGTATGTTATAAAGCCAGAGGTGAAAGGGATGCTTTGCTGGGCACAATCTGTGTTCACAAAACATTGCATATGCTGACAACAGGCAGCTGATATGCATCTTTTACAAGGAACAGGAACAAGTAGAAACAACAACAGGTTGCAACTGAGTGCCAACAATTTACGTAGCAATAACACTTGTATGCTGCAACTTCCATTTAAATGCATAAGAAAAAAAAAATGAAATACTAGTACAATACTTGGGAAGGAAAACCAAAATAATGCAAGACTCTTTAAGTCTGCTCCTCGTGGCTGTAATGCACCTTCTTACCAAAGTTCAGGAACCTAGTTCCTAGTTCTGAGTTCCTGAGCCGTCTCGACCAGGAACTGTAGCTATGGGCTACTTTGGTGTATCACTTTGCCATCGCACAATAGATACTATGACCTTTATGTTAAATTAGCACATAATTTCATACGAAACTACACTGCCACCCCAAAATAATGTTACCTATTGGGAGGCGTGATCACAGTCAAATCAGGACACAGCCAATTATTTATATTTTACTAATGCGTCCTGCGACATTTTAATAATTCATTAGTAAATCTGGCCAGCAGATCGATCTTTCATTTTTCACAGAACAAAAAATGATGTAACATTATCCCGTTATCCCAGCAAGTTTCACCGGCAATATTAGACAAAAGCATGTTGGTTATTGGTGGAATTTTCTGATGCAGATATATGGAGATGCAAGTAAAAAGATATTTATTAATGTATTAAATGTAATTTGAGATACGTAAAATAATTCTGTCTGCTCAGCTTTTACCACACTACTTCTATCTAATCCCCCGCATTTCTGCGTAACTGGTGTTCTCTGAGGCATCCATGTTGTTAGTGTCATAATTGTGCGATCAGTGAGTAGTTGACATCAAGCTTATGCTGTGCTCCATTTACTTTGGGGGTCAGAACTTGGAACTGAGAATGACGTCACACACAAGTTAAGTGTGCCCGAAAGCCATTTAACAATACCAGGGACCCGTTTCAAAAAGCAAGATTTTTTTGCTTACCCAGCTAACTTAATTTACCCCAGTTTAAATTAGCCCAGACTGCCTTAAATCCAACAAGTTGTCCACTTAAGCAAAAAATCCTGCTTAACGAAACTGTCCCCAGTTCTAGCTAGCCATTGTTAGCAATATCAATGGATAACAACACATTACGCAGTATTTTGCGCATAAAAACACCGTAGCAACACATCTACAGATTGCGGTTGGACAGTACTGTGTGTACGACCGATTTATTGAGCCACAAATTAGACTTAAGTGCTAATAAACAGTATAAAACCACAGCTTTAATTTCTGTTGATAAAGGGTGCAGCCATCTTGAATTCTGAGCACAGGTTGTGTCGATCCCTCTGAGTGCACAAGTCGGAATTCCAACTTGAGCATCATCAGAGACCTGTAAAGTCGATTAGTCTGTGCAAATCCTACTCTCTATACGGTTTTTTTCACAGCTGTTTTGTTTTGTTCAAGGAAACATACAGTTTTGCGTTTTGGTATACAGATATAATTTGTGTTTTTGTTTTTTGACAGTAAGGTCAGTCAGTCATCGTGGATTAAAGGCCCGATGCTGAAACCTCTCTGCCGTCAACCTTATGATCATGACTCTTAACCAGTGAGGTGGTCAAGCTTGTGAAACTTTAGTCTGTAGTTTCGTTATCTAGACTGCGGCTTCCGTCCTCAGGTACCAACGGATACGGAAACTCTCCAGCAACCTAAAGCCCTTCTCTGTGGCCTGGGTGCTGCCCAAGGGCCACGGTGGTTATGTAAATGCCAAGGTCGTCACCCGGACCATCACTGCATTCCTGTCCTCGGAGTGCAGGGACATCGATGTTGACCACGTCCCGACAGAGTACAAAACCACCAAAGGGCAGAAAAAATCCCCGAGTCACCAGGAGAAGCTGGTAGGAAGCGGCTCATTACTGTATGTCAGGGCTCAGGAAGGACCAAAAGCTCAATGGAACTCTGCAGGAAACAGCCACCTTAGCATAATTGTGTGTGTGTGTGTGTGTGTGTATGAGAGAGAGAGAGAGAGACGTGGTGCCACCAATACAAAAATTTTGGCTATTACCAATAACTCATATATTTTGTCTAATATTACTGGTACCGATAACTGATATTTCCTAGACGATTTGTCTTCATATTTTCTTTGTTTGTTATCAAAGAAACGGCAGCATGTGAAAGAGAGATGAACAGTATGTTTACTTTGAACTCCCTGACCTTTAGGGCATTTTCCACTGCACCAGGTACCGAACTTTTGGTACTTCAAAAAAATACCAAAAGTACGGAACTTCAAGGTAATGATTTTCCACTGATGTAAAAACTGATAGCGGCTCCAAATGACATCACAGCGCAAGGCAGGGTTTTTGTACTGAATTCGAAAAATGGTTGTAGTATATTTTAGGGCTGGATGATGTGCAATATTAATACTAACATCAGCTGTTATCCATATATATATACTAACATCCAATTTTTAAATAGCTAGTCAGTTATATTAAAATGAGGCTTTTTATTATTTTCAATTCTATATGTGGACATTATGGCGTGGGGTTTAAAGTTTTGCTAAAATATTTTTACTCTGTTACTCTGTCATAGGAAAATAGCAATTTTAATTATTAATCTTTTTATAGATTCTTATATGTTTAAAATCAAAGTTTACCTCTGCTGCTTTTGCATGAGCGCTTCGTATGCTCTCCGAGACAATCATAATCATTTTCAACCTTGCCGTTTAAATAACTCGAAGACGGGGTTATGAGAAATTTATGAACTCCTTTTTTGTTTTATAAATACCCCAATATTTTTACAACCGAATCATATCACTCTATTTATAACTAAATCACATCGCTAGGACAGTACGTTGTATGCCTGCTGTATTAGTATATTCAACAAAATACTTTTTACTTTCTTGTCATGCCATTCGGATCTTTTTGTTGTACATGTTCTTATGACCAAATAGCATTATCATAATTTTTTTTTATACTTCTTTTTTCATTATTTTCTGAGTTCGCAACTGTTTTCAAGGCGGCATTTGTATTGTGCGTCAGAGGCAGGCTATTTGCTTAACCAATTGACAAAGAAAGTGTTTCAAGTCCCACCCAAAAGTACCGAAGTACCAAAGAAGTACCCCGGCTGGTTTGACAATTTCAATATTGGAACTTTTGATACTGGTACTCGACCGCAAGTCAATGGAAAGGTAAAAGTACCAAAAGTATTTTACTTGGTGTGGTGGAAAAGCACTTAAACTGCTTGCTGTCTGAAGGTATAAAAAAAAAAAGCAAAACATGACCTCTTACGGAATTTTAAGAAGCTACAGATCATAAACACAAACCGTTTTATAAACACATGTTCTACAAGCTGCTTGTGTTTGCTTCTCTCCGCTTTGTGAACTTTGTTTCCCTGGGCCTTTGTCCAACATCCACAGATGTTTGCAAGTATCGCTCAGGATATTTGGGAGAAAATGAAGGATCTGACGCCGATGAGGAAGCCAGCGTACCATATGACTCATGATGGTAAAACGGGTGACGGCAGGGCAGGGCAGGGCAGGGTGGTCAGACTTAGGGATCGGGGTCTGAGTGCTGGGTGTCTTTTTAGGGTACCTCAAGCTGTGGCAGCTGCAGAAGCCGTGCTTGGACAAATATGACGTGATCTTCATTGACGAGGCTCAGGACTGCAGTCCAGGTTGTCCTGCACATGGGTGCTGCTGTGTGTCTTTTTTTTTTGTTTATTTGTTTTTTTAAACCAAACGTCTGTCTACCATAAGCATGGGGATGTGAATTAGCAGGGAGGCTAACAGTATTTCTTCTGTCAGATGAGTTTGTTGGGCAAAGTAAAGCTTCACCATATAAGCCTCGAGATGAGGTCATACACCCTACTGATTGTCACGTATCCAATCAGATCATATGCTCTAATGATAGATAGGTATCAAATCAGATCATACGCCCTATTGATAGGCAAGTATCCAATCAGATCATGTGCCTTGTTTAAAGACGTATCCTAGAGCAGAAAACTGCTTTTTGGAAAGTGCAGTCATGTCTTTTGAATTTCCATTTATTTGGATAGAGAATTTGGCCTTTGTGCTGAGAGCTTGACATTAGCTTAGCCAACCACTATGTTAATGTTAATGATTAGAGTTCCCCATTGTCTCTGTAGTCATCCTGGATATCATGATGTCCCAGCGCTGTGGGAAGGTCCTGGTAGGAGACCCTCACCAGCAGATCTATACATTCAGGGGAGCAGTCAACGCCATGCAGACGGTGCCTCATACTCACCTGTACTACCTAACGCAGGTAAGGGTGTTCGCACACAAACGCACGTGCATAGTACTCACACATAGAGTAACAGCGACGTATGTGTGCTCTTCTGAAGAGCTTCAGGTTTGGCCCAGAGATTGCCTACGTGGGAGCCACCATTTTAGAGGCCTGTAAAAATGTGACAAAGACGTTGGTTGGCGGGAAATGGGAAGGTAAGTGATCTGCAGGAGGACCCTGATCAGGCAGCATCCCAGACCATTGGTAGGGGCCATTTTTAATGTGCATTTGATTTATCCAACACAACATATATTTTTGAGAAAGCAAAGCCAGTCAGTCCCAGGAGCAATTGGGAGCAATCTTCCAATCGCCTTCCACTTCCTATCATGCTGAGTGACACAACACCACCCACCCCACCACCCCCTTAGTTAGTGAATGGCTATCTGCGGACGTCAGTCTAAGAATCTGGCCGTGTGGGGGGAGGAACAGTCTATGCTTCTCTGTCTCTCAGCACTTCTCCACTGACACCAAGAACCGAGCCGTACCACAAAGAGACGGTATTCTATTGTAAATTATCCAAGCCGTACCCACGCTGACCTGACCCTGCTTGTTGGTTGCATTACCACCATCTGATTGGTTGAAATGCATGGAGATACCAGTGATTTCCATCGATATGCATGGATTGACTGAAGGAAAAAAGGCATATACTATATATTATTTATTATCATTATTGCACATCACGACATACTGATGCATTCCCAACCTCCTGCTTAAAAAAGCTATATAGAACAGCTGAACAGAATGGATTTGTAATACAAATTCATGCAAGCTAATGCTAATTCCACTAGCGGTTGATGCTAACATAAAATAGTGATTCTCACAGACACGCTAGAGGAAAATAGCATATAGTACATCATGATGTACACCGTGTGTACAGTAAATAAGTGTGCTGGAACCGTGCTGTAACTAGTATCTCTTTGCGGTACAGCTTGGGTATGACTTGGTTCCTGTATACCAGTGGAAAAGCACAGTCTCTCCTTCCCTCTCCACTGTCTCTCTTTTGTTCTCTCGCTTCCTCTCTCTCTCGCTCTCCCTCACTTCCCCCCATGCTGACTGCACATGTTCTTTTGATACTGTGAAAATACTATTAGCTCTCCTCAGTTAGCGAAGGAGAGAGACAAAAACCTCTCTCTTCAAGACTTGTCTTTTCCCGGAATACCAATACTAGAACCCAGCCCTCCATGTTCCCAGAATGTGGTTGTTATTACACTTTCTGGTAATATAATACCTCCTCGTTGTGCCCCCCCCCCCACCTTAAAATGCATGGCAGAGGCACAGTCACACCACCCAATTCTAACCCCACCCGAGCAGGCCTGGCAGTCTGTGAGCACAGTACCGCCTCTGTCCATCCACCCAGCACTCTCTGCCCTGTTGGCTACACAAACCAGCAGGTCCCAGGCCACTGCATGTATGTCTGTGTGACAACTTGTTTTAGTTAATTTGCACAATTTGTGTTATTAGGTTTTTGTTTTGTTTGGATGATGGTGTGTAGCTTTTACTGTAATACTGCTTATACTTGTTCCTGGGCATTTACTTGAAGCTCAGCCTAAGCTGTACCTACGCCTAGTCTGATCTTCAGCAGCCATATGTTTGTAATGTGCTGTTTGCCTTAAAAAGACAGAAGTATCTGCTAGGTGTGTGTGTGTGTGTGTGTGGGTTTGCATAGATCACATTTGAGGGCCAAATTGTCCAAATTGTGAAATTTCCCTACTTTTGGGGACATCTTTTGAGGTCCCCATTTGGATAACCTCAGTTTTATAAGAATCTGTGAATGCAATCAAAAAAGTAAAAATGCCAAAAGTCTTGTATTTGGGTTGGTTACTTATGGTTAAGGTTAGGGATGGGTAGAGGTTAAGGGCGTCGTGATTGGGATTAGGGTTTTTCCCATAGAAATGAATGGACAGTCCCCATTTAGATAGGTACACTAACTTGTGTGTGTGTGTGTGTGTGACTGGTGTCCAGGTAGCGTGAGGGGGGAGAGCGACCCCGCCGAAGGCCTCCAGTACTTCAGTCCAGCGGATCCTCGGAAGGGGAAGGTGGCCATTTTGTCGCGGCAGAACGGCACCGTGTTCGACGGGGCCGTGAGGCTCACTGAATCTGAGCCGCGTCCAAGGCTGCACATTGTTGGGGTGACTCTCGTTTACCTTTCAATATCGTTCAAGCCTCTTCTTTTGACAATGCTTTTATGGTGCTTTTTTAGGGTGGGGTGAAAAAATACTAACGTTCCAATAGTGCGGAAAAGTTGTCACTGGACCTTGTTATTAAACGTGCAAAATATCTTTGAAATAGGTTCATATTTTCAGGTTCCGCCACGCGATCGAAGATTTCACCTGTCACATCAATGCGTAGATCCACGCTTTGTATCATCTGTCATAACGCAATGTAAAATTGTTCCAATTTAATACAAGAACCTAACAATCGGTCAGTGACAATGAGTAAGTGGGAAAGAACTCATTCAGAAATGTGGCGCTCAGGAGCATGTTTACACTGACATACTGGCAATATACACTATCCATTGTCTATACCACAGGAGCATGCTTACACTGACATACTGGCAATATACACTATCCATTGTCTATACCACAGGAGCATGCTTACACTGACATACTGGCAATATACACTATCCATTATCTATACCACAGGAGCATGCTTACACTGACATACTGGCAATATACACTATCCATTATCT